TTAATATGAGAAGGGGTTTTGTGGATATTACATGAATTTTAATAGTTGAGATCCTGAGTCAACATATTTATATATATATATATATATATATATATATATATATATATCAAAACAATTTTATTTACTATATAATTTCACGTTTATTCCTTTACAAACCTTTCATTAATCAAGCTATTTATGCCGTTTAACTACATGATTGCTAATTCTACTGACATTTCGTTTACTTTAGGAACTTCAGTTCAGTTTATACAATTGACTGGTGGACTAAAATTGTATACATTTTAATTTATCGACCGAAATCTAATAATTGAAATCTATACATGCAATCATGATTTATCAAGTGTATTGGTGTATAAGTAACTTCTCATCATTCTCTTTTTTGCTGTTTAAAATGGTTTTGGTCAGAAAATGATCTGTCTGTACGTAAATGATAATATGAATACAGTTGGATAATAACGTAACTGTTGATAGTTAAGTTTCATTGATTAGTTGATAGATTACTTAGTAAGTTAAACTATATAATAGAGCTACCTCGAGATTTTTACGCATTTTAGCCAACCACGAAATTCTAATGGTTGGTTTACAGTAAAAAGTTGACATTTTCCAAAGAGAATACTAAATTCATACCAATAATGAACTATTTGCTTTCGATTCGATCTTGGTTAAATATCAACTTTTACGGTTATTTTAAACTTCGATCGAAATCCTAAACTCTACTGTAGTCGAAAAGTTGTCGAGTGGGAAGAACAATTTATTATTTGGTACAATACTACAGAGTTCTTTATTAAAATGTAAAAATCATATATTAAATAACTCATTTGCAAATCTTCCATCCATTATCCTTTACATCCTTCATGATTCTTCCGATTCTTGATTCCTTTATGTTTCCCTCTCTGTTTTCTTCAGTTCAACCTTCTCAAACTTCTTTGGATGTATTCCATTTCTTATCGGCGTTACATACTACTTATATTTGTCAAAATAAGTAGCATACACCACACGACTTCTGACCCTAGTTCTAACTCCGAACCCTACCTGTGATCCGAATGGTAGCCCGAATATAAAATTTACTTTTAATACTAATACCAAATTTAACTGAAAACACAACTTTTAACTGTATAATCCTAAGCGTAACAAGTATTGCAGTGAAATTTACTCTATCTCCAAATTTATTCAAACTCATTCATGGTTATTTTATTCCTGCAATAACAACATATGTCTATTTTCGACAACAGCCTTACATCATGTGAGTACTTAATGATGTTTTCATCACTAAAATTTGTCATTGCGGATTCCGTCAGTAACGTCCTAAATTAATAAGGTCAGACAAACGTCAAATCAAATTGAAATATGAGCCAAAACCTTGAAGCTGTTTTCTTATTCCTGATTGGCTCGGTAGTTTACTTTATCTCTGCCGTTTACCTCAGAGGTAAACTTATAAAAGTGATGAAATGTGTTTGGTTTGGATAAGGATTTCTTTCCAGTTTCTAAATGACACAATAAATAAGACTTTTTTGATTTTACCTATTGATCATGCTGTAGAAAACTCATACGTCTATCATTCATCTATTACTTAGATTACTTTAAGTTTATTGATCCTGAAAATTGGACATGTAACAAAACTCTGCTTTTTATTTTGCTGATAGTTATGGTAGCAGTGGCATATTTTCCGAAACTTTTCAATTATGACTTAGTAGTAAACAATATTTTAGAGTCGTTACGTGAAAATAAAGAAATCTTTCTACCTAAATTAAAAATTCTCATTTAAAATAGACGACAAGTTAGTGAATAACAGGACTCAGTATCTAAGTTGATAAAGCGGTGACGTTTGAGGTGGACGGTACTGGGCTTGAGTCCCGGAATGAGCATCAACTCGGGTACAGTTGCATCCAGCTGACGAGTCCCAAACAAGGTAGGGCGCCTGTCCTGGGTTTCATTGCTAGCCATCATCCACTTCTGCTTGTTATTACTGTAATTTTGCGCATTTTATAGGTATTCGTTATCACATCAAAATGTAATAATCGACGGCATAGAATCGGTTTCATTGGTTTATTTGAATTCGTTCTCCATCTTCATGTCAATGTCAAGTATCACTAACCTGTCATTCCCCCCTATTCTTAAGCTCAAAATGTATTTATCATGTTGAGATTTCTCGATCTGTCACTTATGCCTAACCATCGATTACCTATACGGGCAGCTGGTGCAGAAGTAAGTTTTTAGAAAGTGGAGAAAACCTAATCAGGATGTGGCATTGATTCATCAACTCATTGGCCGTTGACAGACTAACAAGTTGCAGTCTACACGATAACTACAATAAATGGTTGGAAATGTTGACAAATATATTTCAACATCGGTCACACTGGCACATATGCATTCGTTCTGTTTATTCCTACAGGTTTTGAATTACATTATTTCTTCATAGACACTTTTTCATTCTGTTTTTTCAATAGGGTTTTAAATGTTTATTCTCTATTGTTATGACTGCTACTATATTATTTTAAATCGCTTGCTATTTATTTTAGTAGTATTATCTCATCATGCCATTGTGGTATCGGAACTTGGGCGAGACTCTAATTTAAGGACGACCTTTGAACGAATCTTAAATGACCTTGACAGTTATTAGCCAATCAGAAGAAAGTTAGTATAAAGTGAAAATATATTATATGAAAGTAATGAATTACAGTGGATATTCTTCTTTTACATGATTTAAAAACTTGTTAAAGTTTGATTAAGGTTCAGAGGTTCTGAATTCACAATGCATATGGAATAGAAACTCGTCCATTGGGTTAGGTTTACAGTAAGGTTAGGGTTAATTGAGGGTTAAGGTTTAGGGTTAGGGTTTAGGGTTTAGGGTTAAGGTTAAAGTTAGGGTTAGGTGAGGGTTTAGGGTTAGGGTTTAGGGTTAGGGTTTAGGGTTAGGGTTTAGGTTAGGGTTAGGTGAGGGTTAGGGTTAGGATGCTAACATACGAGTTTTTAAATCATGTAAAAGAAGAATATCCACTGTAATTCATTACTTTCTTTTAATATATTTTTACTTTATGCTGTCTTCTTATTGACTAATAATTGAAATTGCTCAAACGCTTCTGATTGGCTCGTCCCTAAATTAAAGTCTCGCCGTCCCATCTATTGTAACCTCTTGTTAATCACCTACTCTCTAAAATCCACTGTGAACCAATCGTATGTTAGCATCGCGTGTTGAACTCGGCTCCATGACCTTGAAATCGCTCAAACGCTTTCGATTGGCTCGTCCCTAAATTAGAGTCTCGCCGGAACTTGAACAAATGCATATCTTTGCCCAAGTCTATATTGAATATGTTTAACTGACTCACTCACTCAGGGAAACTAAACTTTAAGTCAATAGACTTATGACAACTTAATAAGGAAGATGTTTTGAAATTCATTGATTTTAATGCAGTTTATCAACAAACAGGGAAGGTTTTCAAAAGTGAAAACATAGAAACGTCCTTCAGTAATATATGACATAAAATAACACAAACACAATTTCATCATGTGAATCTGTCGGACGTACTAAAAAGGGGAATAATTGATCTTTCATCTTTTGAAAAAACCAAACTTCTGTAAAAAGAATTACATATACTAAAGTAAAACAGCCTAGAGAGAAATTCACGTGAAACTTTGTTGGGAATACGGCTGAAATTTAAATACAAAACAATAACTGATTGAGTAATATTGAAATTTGCGTTGTGTTACAGAAATATTGCAAGTAAGATATGAGATATTGAAATTTAAAGATAAGCTCATGTAGAAGGTAATTGATGGGATTATAATCTATGGATAGACCAATCAGATTTAAGATAGCAGATCTTGTATTTCGACATTTTAGCTGTCAGTTCGTGATTAAATTATTAAATCTAATTCCTAACCATTGAATTCAACTATCAATCGTAATTCTAATTTCGTCACACTAATTTATAACCTTCATTTAACCCTAGTAAGTAGGTGGACATTTCAAGGTCATGTTAGCGTTTCTCAAAAGTCGTCCATAAATTACGGTCTCACCAGGTAACATATATAGTTAGAGTTTGAGACAATCTCCCCACTCATCATTTTTGATAGTATAAAACTAAACTAGTGGTCTTGATACGATCAAATTGAGATGCTATTTTGAATTTGGATAGTGTGATAAGACGACTAAGATTATCAGGAATGTGATATATTAGCGCGATACATTTAGAACCATCTGTTCCTTGCATTCTAGTTTACCAGTTTATATGTTTGTGTGAACACGCCTACATAGATGTACAAATATTTTTGGTAGTGAACGATATACATATCTATCTTTGCTTATGTATATAGTTTTATTTTTAACCTGCGAAGAGTAAAATTCATTTGAAAAGTTGCTTAAGTGTGTTATGTCGGTGTTATGTGATAGATTTTATTGTTCTAAAAGTCACCTTCAGTGCTGACTTCGTCATCTATGGTTCATTAATATCCTGATGTAAACAACATATTTAATATGATATCTTATGGAAACCGACTGTACCACAGAGTTCCTTCTTCTTTTGTCTGACGGAGATTTTCACAGTTTCCAGTAAGCTGTCACTGGTCACATGGATATTGAACAGCACCAGTGACTTCACTCTGCTACCGGTGGTTTAATGTGGCTGTATTACCATAGGACACACATTTTAGGTTGGCCTACCGTTAGAAGCAAATATCTGTTGTTCAACTTTCATGTTTTTGGATCTATGTTATCGAAGTAGTAGAGTTTATTGCCTATTGAAGGTAAAATATAGGGTGAAACTAGGTTAAGAGAATGAATAGCTAAACAGTATTCAATATTTCTCTGGCTTATATTACCCTCCCTTCAGCAAAATAACTAAGATTTTCTGTCATCGTTTCTTGGAATTCTTACTCATAGATATGTTCTCTTAATGATAGCTTCTAATATCTTTTATCTAACATGAACCGTAATGCCATCTGAATAAAACTATTTAACGTAATCGCACATCATTTATTAAGTAAAGTATCAACCTGTTCTACTTGTATCTGTTGAGCCAATAAAAAATGAAAAAAATATTCCTCACTTTTCTTCTATCATGGCATTGTAAAAGGTGTTTTTGTTACAGTAAATCATTATTATTAAAAGGAAAGATTAAACAGAAAGTGGATACATTCAAAATATGCTCAAAATTGTCTAGATTACTTCAAAAGTACATTACTTTTTTAAAATCTAGTTCCAAAGAACGATACAAATCAAATTGTTAGAGAAAAAAAACAAGTTAAGACTCTTCAGAAATGTATATTTCTATGAAAATTTAATCATAAAATAGTTTCAGTTAGAACAATAATCTATATTTTACTCTTCTTGTTAGTTTTCTTTTACATATTTGGAAACCAATTACACATACCAACAAACGATGGTGGAAGTCTTCTTTTATGGGTCATCAAAGACGATTTTTCCAACTCGTGTGTCTATTTGAAATAAGAATATCGTTAAATTAGCCAAGTTATATATATATATAATTTAAACTCTGGGACACAGATGAGTATTCAGATCCTAGAACAATCTTACATATGATGAAAACTATTATTAGTTAACTGTAAAGTGTATCTTATGAGTTGTGTAGCTGGCATTTTCTGTACGAATATATTTTAGGTGCTGAAAATTATTTGAATTGTTTGATACTCTTTCAAACATGCGTATTACAAGCTCTTGCAAGCTTTTACATAATCGTATCAGAATAGTTACAACATTACTAAGTTGATATGAGGTGGATTCTAGTAATAGCGTTGTTATTCCGCTTTGAATAAGGATATGTTGTGTCAATATTAAATGATTATTGAATGTATATGTATCAAAGATGAATAGTAGTTTAAACATTGTGACATATCTGCTTGATGACGAGGAGTTTGCGCCAGTGCGACGAATTTAAAGACAATAATGATTTTTCTGTTAAATTTTTAGTTAGGAGATATTAGTAAAAGACTATCACAACGTCCACAGCCTTACTGTATTGAATTTTATTGATTATTAGGAAGTCGGGCAAAACTTGGTTGTAAGTTTAAAAGAAACAGCGATTATCATTTCTTCCTATATTTTAAGTTTGAATGATAATTAAAAAAAACATCCAATGCAACATTTATTACTGACTTCCTAGCTGCTTCCTTTAACCACAGACTATTTCTATTCATTTGTTAAGATTTCTACTATCCGTTTGAAAATTGGATTTGATTACCCTACGATATCATATATGAATTGTGAACTAATGCCTTGATATCGTCCATAGTTATAAATTTTATCAAACTTTATATTTTTGTTAGCGGTAGTGTGCAGTACAGTAATTGTGTTTCTTTTTTTTAGAACCGAGGTGTAAATTCAGGTTCCAACACTTATTTTTTTAAAGTTTATAATTAGGTTACTGATTATAAACAAGTAGTAAAAATCAAATATTTTAAATCAAAACGATATTGTACCGGGCTTACGTCATATTGACATGATTTACAACAGTGTAATGATGTTTTTAAGTGTAAGGCAAGTGAGAAACTGATTGTCAGTAAAATTTTTCGATGAAGTTTGATGAACTAAAAATTTAAAAAGCCACCTAATTGTCACTATATTTGATGAAAATCCCTTAGCAATTATCAATCGATGTGAGAATATTAGTTGCCCATAAAGTATTGAGTAATCAGTAGACTTATTAATTAGATAAAATTGTTTGCAGAGATGACTGATCTGAGGACTAGTTAATTACTGATAATATAGCATCTCCTCGATGCCTAAATATAACAACCCAACTTGCTATTAAGATATAAATCAGTTTGCCGAAGCTATCATGTGCATATGAGTTCCGTTTTTGAAATGGACACTATTTTATTTGTTATGTCAGAGTAAAACAGATGCTTAGTTTGTATTGTGACCGAGTGACAAGGCCATAAGGTGTAATTATTGACTCATTCACCAACGTTGCCGGTTCGACTGATGATTTTCCAATTTCCACTTGACATATCAGACAATGAATAGCAACCAAAACCTTAACGCTTATTAAACCTCAAGTTCTTTTGAACCCGGCATCAAATCAGAAGAAGAAGATAGAAAGCTGATCAAATCCTATTGTACTCGATTCATTATGATTCGAAAGTAATATAATCATGTACTTGAACTGTTTGACCACACAGCAACACAATTAGAAAATTACAATATTTGCATAACTCTTATATAAGTGATACTAGACTAGTCAGTCAGTCAGTCGGCTACAACGGCTACAACGTAGGAACAGGCACATATGTGCATCGGTCCAAGTTGCCATACCTCATTAGAACAATAAGATGGACACCAAATTCATAGAAGTAGTCAATTCAGTGGTGGTAATATATAAAAGAAAGATTGCATACGAGGACATAGTACAGGACGAAAGAATTAGTTGATAGAAAGAAAGATATAAAGCGATTTTAATCTCTTAGTTTAAGGGAAGACAGAGAGTGTATGCACCTACACCATTGTGATAAATTCTGAGCCTTGTCACAGAGTCTCCAACCATTGGTTCCAATAGTCACGCGGACCCCAACTAAGTAGTCCGCATCTCCCAACACGGCTCAGACTAGAAGTTAGTGACTTCAAGCACTGATGCCACATTTTGGTTTGGTCGCCTCTAACTTTCTTCCAACCATCCCTCAACACTAATACTAAACTAGAGTAATAGGGAAATGATTAAATAATGACAAATGTAAAATAATAAAAAGTACGATAGAAGTTTCTGAATCAAACAAAAGCTTAGAATTAAGCGATTATAGAAGAATCTATTAGCTATATAAAAAAACTTTCATTCATAATAATCCTACTTATGATAGTCTCATACTTTATACTTCTATATATTACCAACTCCATATTTCAAACATTTATTTATCTAACTAATATATCAAAACCATTAAACTAAGCAATAGGATTAAATAACCGCATGTTTTATGAAACTTAACATACAAACAAATTTTTTAAACAATCTATTTATAATCAGAAGGGGTTTTGTGGAGATTTTAGAAATTTCACTGATTGAAATCATGAATCAATTGAAGCTAGACCACCATGGAGGACCTGGAAGCACTGAACGGTCGTTTCTTCGTAGTATGGGACTCCTCAGCAGTGCGCGTTCACAATCCCGCATCCTGCCAGATTCTATTTATAAGTAGATAGATTTATCAATATGGAGTATATCACTTTATCTCTTCTTATCTATTAATAGAACTATGTTTTATGATTTTGCTTAGAACTGGTAGGTGTCGGCTTTTCATTTATATCTATATACCAGTCATAACTATAAATCATCTTTCAAGAGAAATCTAATTGAAAAGCGAATTCTTTGAAATCACTCCCCTATAACCATTCTTTTACAGATTTTTTGTTTTATGTGTTATAAAGTTTTCTCTTGAATTTTTTCTTTGAAAAAAGATTGTCGGTAGAAGTTGATAATTTTTCTTTTGTCACACTATTGATTATTTCAAGTAATTTTGTTGTTTTTCTTAATCTGAACGAAATTAAAATGTTAGAGAAAGATAATTTTCAATTGGTTAACTCTTATTTATTTGAAAATAAAACTTAATTAATATGGGTATCAGAAGGGGTATTTTGTGGAGATTGTAGTAATTTCTATGGTTGAGATCATGAGTGAATTAAAGTTAGACCTGGATGGCCATTTCGTCCTACTGTGGAACTCCTCAGCAGTGTGCATCCATGATTTCGCCTCACGAGATTCGAACCCACGACCTATCAGTGGATTAGTTGAAGTTAAACATTAACACCATTGAATGCTGGCCAGCCCAGTGGTCTAGTGGTCAAGCGCTCGAGCGCGAGACTGATGGGTCCTGAGTTTGAATCTTGCGAGACAGGATCGTGGGTGCACACTGCTGGAGAGTCCCACAATAGGACGAGACGGCTGTCCAATGCTTCCAGGTTTTCTATAGTGGTCTATCTTCAATTGACTCATGATCTCAACTATTGAAATATAGTTCTTGATATTACTAAAGTGATAACTTAAACGCTTAATAATGTTGGTTTCTGTGTCGTGCTAACTGAACAAGTTCGTAGACTTTTTGAATTAGTAGTTTGTTGGATATCCTCACGTTCTTGATGTTGTTAAGTTGTTTAAGGTTGATGGTTTAATTAGTGAGCATTCTGGGTAATATCATCAGAGCTTACTCCATGTAGAAGTGAGCTTTTTAGTTATTCCAATTTCATCCTAGTTTTGTTTTCATGATTTTTATAATCATCATTTGTCCTCGTATTCAAGTTGACTATCATGTTCTGTTGACCTTTGACTACTTAATTGGTTGACTTTTTTAATATGTATTGATAGATTGTGTCTATGTAAATGTGTCTATTGGCCGATAATTGATCTGAATGCTATACTTTCATGAATCCTCTGCCACTCTTTGAATTCCCTAGATAGATGATCCTCATATTTCCGTCTTTGAATTTAAATCCGTGACTGTTTATATGCATTGATATTAGTTATAACATATTGTGTCGTCTAACTGATAGTTAATATCCATTTATGTGTATGCGGTCTATTTCGTAACATTACACGTGTTTTATCAGTGGTATTTTCGACATTTTCTGAGAATATTTTCTAAACTATCCAGTTGTCAAAAACGGTTCAAAGTTGTCAGTGCTATCATTTCAATGGTTAGTTAACAATTGATGTACTCTTTTATAGGCTGTACAGAACTAACAGAAGTTACACTGGTTAATGCATCAATAGTAACTAGTTGTAAGCGCCAGCAAGTTGGAATTTTGTTTATGATGGGAAATATATGACAAACAAAATTTCAGGCCGTAATCCTAAAAATAAGATATTTACAGTGTTGGATGCTGACTCATTGGTTTATGAAATAAGCATTCATCTGAGAGATCAAAGGTTCTGTGTTCGATTCTCGCATGCAGGGTCATGGATGTGTACTGCCGACGAGTACCATTCTAGGAATAAACGACAGCTCAGTGCTCCTAGGTTCCTATTGGTGGTCTTATTTAGACTGTTTCATGATCTCAAGGAAACTTGCATTTTTAATGGATTGTGGTTTATGCATTCAGTGGAAATTACATGGTATAGTGACAAGGTTGTAAAAATACTTGATGTAAGTTTATCAATAATAAGGACCGGATAATATGATATTTTTTAATATTTAATATTAAAATATTTTGATAGATGGGTAAATGTATTGAAAAATACATCATCTATTTAGTTTCATACCACCAATACTAGTAATACACTTACTACTTGTCGGATATTATTGTAGGATTTTTCTAGATAATTTCATCTCACTATGCTAATGCGGTGTGGTAACTTGCACTGGTGTATTTGTGTGCTAATTTATACGTTGTATATCATTGATTGAACATGTAATATTAATCAAAAGTTTAAAATTGATCAATTTTGAAAGAAAAATTAATGTAGCATATGGGAATTGATAAAAAGTAGATTATAAGGATAGACCAATCAGAATTGAGGAAACGACTGTGTGGTTTTCCCTTGAAATTCAAAGATAATTGACTTTTATCATACATCAAATATAACCAGTAATTCTGTAAAATTGTCAAAAAGTTAAAAATGATAACCGAAACTTACTTCTTGCCATTAATACTTTATGTGTAGATTGTATAAGACACTCAAATCAACCATATTCCCAAACCCTATCCGTAAACTACCAACTTTAGACTTATAACTCCGAACTAATACCTTTTATTCGAATTCTCTAACTTTTAATTTCCAAACCTAAAATCACAATCACAATCCACAATTACTAAACTGGAACCAAGATAATTATGGAGATTCCTAAAATTTTTTATTTATGACGATATAAAGGATAGAGAAGATAGGTAATTTATATGAATGAATTTATAAGTTGCTTCTTTCTTGATTGATAGACATAAGAATCTAAAAAAAGATTTTAATAGATTCAATATTTATACGAAAATTTATTTACAGTATCAAAAATATTATTATTCCCCCATGTATTCATAGTGACAATTATCATGTACTCACAAGTTATGTACTTTAAAAGAAAATTTCCAAACTTCTAATAAGGAACCAGAATTAATTCATAACATGGATAGTGGCTAGCAGTGGAATCTAAGACGCGCGTCTCGTCCTATTTGGGACTCGCCAGTTGAATGTACCTGCATCTCAGTATGCAGGTATGCAAACATTTCAATAAGAAACTGAACAATTGCAGTCCTAACCATGAATAGGAAGATTTAAGTAAAACAATACCAAATGAATCATAATTAATTTAGTTTAACTATATCAATTGTGATATAATCATCTCAATGGTTGAAATCATAAGTCATTTAAGGCCAGAAACACTGTGCGGCCGTTTCGTCCTATTATGAGACTCCTCAGCAGTACGCATCCATGATCCCATTTCTCCCCTCCGTAAAATATCCGAAATCTTCACAAAAACCCTTCTGATATAATCATCTATCTTAAACAATGAAATATGATTGCATAACATCAAATATATATATATATATATATTGATTATTTATAAATTAATCAATAATTACCTGTTCAGATGTTATTGTATAATAATTTAATTGTGTATTATTTTCATTTAATTGATTTAATTTTAATTCATTTAATTTTTTAATAAAATTATCAATTTTGATTTGTAATTTATAATTATCTAATTGTTGTAATAAACGTCCAGCATTTAATTTATAAAAATATGGTAAATTTGATTGAAGAATTTCAATGAATTGATTAATTGAATTCAATGGTAAATAATCAATATTTAATAAATTTTGATCAACTTTTATTAAATTATTTAATGATAAATTATTTATATGATTATTTAATGTTTTATTGATTTTATTAGAAAAATTATAAAAAATTGTTTTTGTTTTATTTTTTGATTATTTTTTTCATTCAATAATTTATTATTATTATTATATAGATGAATAAATGTTTGATTAAAATTTATTAAATTAAAATTATTTTTTAATTTTTTATCATTTTTATTGATTTTTTTATAATTTTCTTGATTGAATTGATTATTGATTAAATTATTGAATAAATTTAATAAAATCATTTTAGAATGATTTGGTAAAAATCAATAAAATTCTGTAATCTTAATTGTATAAATTGAGAAAATTTATTCATTGTTAAATGTATCATTAATAATTCATAATAATTAAATTTTATATGTAAACCATAGAAATATCTTTCAGCATTTTTAATATTCATATAATATAATATTGTATAAGATGTATTGGATATTATAGTAAATAAATAATTTGGATATTTTAATAAAAATTCTATATCACCAATACATAATGATCCTGGACAAAATAAAAAATAAATGATCAATATGAATAGATATAAAAGAGGGAGAAAGAGGGAAATCTCCGCTGAGATTTTACAAATACATTCTCCTTCTTTAATGTCTCACATTAACTCGGCGCCCAAATATTATAAAACTATTCGTTCAAATTTAGACGAAAGTTCTTATTGAATATATATATATATATATTTCAATAAATATTTGAAAATTTCATTAGTTGAAATCATGAGTCAATTGAAGTTAGAAGCACTGGATGACCGTTTCGTCCTAGTTTAGGACTCTTCAACAGTGCTCATCCACGATCACACCCACTCGCCGTGAGATTCGAAATATAAAAAAGAAAGATTATAGAAAGTTTGTATTATATCAGTGATAATATTATGATAATAATAATGAAGTGATACAGTTATGTTTCTAACAATAATATTAGATTTGAAATGTTCCATACTTTACAGATTTTCGGTAGGACTATGATATATGTATGTTTTTAGTGATTTCATAAGGTAAGATTATTAATTATTGTGTTTATAAAAGATTAGTAAACATTAAGCTTTTTTCAAGTTTTTATTGGTTATAAATACAGCTGAAAATATGAAAGTTGTGAGCGGTTCTTAAATTCTTAGCTAAGAACTGCTCAACTCACCACCTTAAGGTACCGAAGTTCACATGATATTTGTTATAATTTGTCAATGAATGCTTACTTATTATATCTGGTCATCGCTGATTGTTGTGTCGGAAACGCTTATCACTTATACTCGAGACGAGTAACCTCTGCAATTCTCACAACGCGAAAATAAGAACACAAAGACTGGTATAAGTGAAGATTTATTGACCCCAAAACACGACGACGACCCTAGTCGAAAATACACTCATTAATATATTGATTGTACACGCACTTTGATTAATTACTAGGATGAAATCACATATATTAAAAATACTCAAGTATAACAAATCATATACTGAGTATGGTTCATGTCAATTGAATACAAGAATATCGTATGTTAGAGAGAATAAAGTGTCACACGCGAAAAAAAACCCGAATACTACACTGAGTAATCAGCACATTGAATTAAAACGGAATTAATGTTGAACCAAAAATCATGAGTAAATCAATCTAATTTTGAATTCCCTTTCCTTCATATCAATATTTACATATCACACAATGGCCCACCATTGTATATAAGGTAACAAAACATTTCACACTGGAAACCAAGTACATTCAATGCACAGAAACCAACAGTTTAAATCTTATTTTTTCATATTTTATTAAATTTTTAAGGTATATCTAAAAAGCAGCTATTTGTAATCGACTTCCTAGTCGCTAGTACACTAATACTCTTGAAACCAGAACAGTAAACAGAACGTGGGTAGTATGGAAACAGTATGATTTTAAAGGTTATTATATATTAAGAATATAAAACTATTGACGAGATTATACAAACATCTGAAAGACGCACTAATATCGATAAAAATTTTAGCAGTTATCCATTCACAATACTGAAATTTTATGATTCATAGTTTTCCAGAATTTTCTAGAGATTCCTGATTAGACAAACTATTTCCAGGAACTTCTCGGCTTCAAAACACATTTTCGAGAAATTATCAAGATCTAAATGTCCATTAAGCCTAATAATCTTGTTTCACTAGTAGCAACTAAGCTCGGTTCCTCTTCTACCCAGTTCGTAAATTTTATATTTCTGTTATATCCCGACGAGAATTATGAATGATAACTTTTGAGAACTATTTGTGGATCAATGCGATACATATATTTTTATTGTGTAATTAATAAGTAACTAAGATATATATATTCATGTTCCTCTCATTATAAGTTTTACTTTGACCTATAGTCTGTTATTATACGATTTACTGTTCTTGAGTTATGCTCAGTCTATTAATTACAGTCTCCAATATTCACAGTCACTTTTGGCTAGATCTTGTACAAATGTTATTTTCTATTTTGTGGTACGATGTTGTCTGTTTGGTTTGTATATAAACCCGATATGCTTGAAATACATGATTCATGTTGCGGAGGCTGAGACTCTAAACTGCTCGTGTACGCGTCATTGATCCGGTCGATAAATCACTGTTCTCTAAGTGGCAGTATCATTTATTTATTTATTTATTATTAGAAGCTTTATTCAACATTATATTTTTGGTACAACATAGAATTCTCAGCATAAAGTATTTCAACAAGTTTTCTTTTCTTATATCTTGATCGACTGTGACGATAAATTTTGAATGATGACCAGTTAGATGTAAGGAGTTCGGTAATCCACATTTCATTAATGTTCATTCGTTTCAATGCATATTGCCAGCCACCATAATGTTGCTGATTGTATCATTTTGTATCCCGTATAGCGAAAGGTTGTAAACTTTTCATAAACGCGCCTGAATAGATTGTGAGCACAAAAGACATAATGATGTGCTAAAACAAACAACAAAACAGATAACTTGAAGAAATATCTAGATCGGAGGAACAGGTAGCCCAGATATTCAAGCAGGCCGCCAGTCTACTTTTCTGGTTACATACATTAACAGGGGCACGAAACCACAAATTATAGCAGTTTGCTTTAGCAAATTTAAATGTATAAAAACCTTGTCTTGTTTTGATACACTTATTTAATCTGTTTTGTCATTGTTGAAAATAATCTTCAAAGTCTTTAGAAGTAAGGTTTTTTCAATTAGTTAGTCGTTCCACATTTTACCGTTTTCATGATAAGTAGGATTAAGCAGGTGGTTTCATATTTTCCCTAACTTGGTCTTAAATTCTCTGACAATGGTTTTATTTCCATTGTAATATTATTTCAATTCAGTATGTTTGTATCGAATAAGTGTGAATTTTCGTTCTATATAACAGGTGTGGACTGTTACCTAACGTGACAGTTATATTCATTATCTTAACCTAGTTGAAGTTTGTGTTTTGTAGTTACTCTTTATATCATTTCATTTACTAAGTTGTCATTAAGTGTATATGTAAAATCAGTATATAATTGAGTGTATTCGGTTTGATAAAACATGAATTTGGAGACTTAATAAATCTTTATTTTCATTGGTCTGTTTTTTTACCTTGCCTTCGTAGGAGTTGTATCGGTTCCTATTTTCAAGCAAAAGCAATAATGCAGCAGATATGTCAAAAGCTGATATGTACATAGTAGAGGTAACTCTAGAAGTAACTGTAGGAATGCGGATATAACAATGTGATTTACACGGAAGTAAATACTATTTCACTTACGAAATAGTCAATAAGCTTTCTTTATCAATTTAAACGTTGACTTTATCGATATTTTATTATATTGTAATAACTTGATTCTTAAATTGCTGAAAGTAAGCCAGTAAAGAGTGCCACACACATAGGTTTTCTGCTTTTTAAGAGAAATATAAAAATTTTTTTTAACTTCATTCCAGACTAGTTACTGTTTCATGCCACTTGTAGATTATACATCCGATGTGAGTAGATTCAAATGACGTTAAATTCTGGACATAAATAAATTGTATCCATCGATACTATCTTAAAGTCTAGTAGTTGTTTGATGCCTTCTAAAGAAATTAACAAAGTTACTATTTAAATATATATCAACTACAGCGTAACATTTTATTTTTTTTAAATTTTCGTTATTAGCAATACATCTTTACATTCACTTGGTATTGTTTAGGACAGTTTCAAATTGGCATATGTACATACTGTGAGTATTGCTTTAATTCACAAGCATTATAAGGAAAGATGGATAGTGGATAGCAGTGGAACCCAAGACTCAGTAGCTAAGTGGATAACACGATGGCGTTTGAATCGAACGGTACTGGGTTCAAGTTGTGAAGTGAACATCAACTCTGAGATGCAGGTACATTCAGCTGAAAAGTCCCAAATAGGATGAGACGCGCGTCTTAGATTCCACTGCTATCCACTATCCATCTTAATACATTTTTACAGTTTGATAGTACCTATGATGAAGTTCCATAGTTTTTATTTGAAAAGGTTTTTTCTTCTAGAATTTCACTGTCATATTCACTGATCTCCTTGGTCAAATCATTAGCTGTTTGTAAGGTATCTCAGTATAAACTAATTACTTATAAGTAATACAATAAGTGTACTGAGAATATAAAATCTAGACGACACAACTTTAAATGTAAATAAATTCGGTTTTCCTGGATATTTCAGTTTTCATATACAATTTACTACCTACATGAATTTGGACAAATTTTTAATTGAATTGTAATAAATAATCCGGAAAATATCTTCCTACCGTGAACAGCACAATAGTCATTTGTCCCACTTCACAAGTAACCGAATCTGGTAAAAGTGGAATGAATTTCCCGAGTCGATGACGAGATTTAACATAAAGTTAACCATGATACAAAGTGATTCAAAACATGAATGATTGGATGGCACTAATTTATCTAGGTAACTTATCAAATGAATAATCATTTTTTGATGTTTACACTTTACTTCAATTTCTGCTGACATAGTTGTATACGATATTTATATGACAGTATTACTTTCCTTATCAGTAAATATGTACTAAATTCAATAGTCAATTGTTAATTTCCTTGATTAGTTAATGATCTATTACGGCACTTATCTTACGTACGTACGACGTTCTACGTTGTTGATGACTGACTGATTGACTGAATTTCTAACATGAATTGAATTATTCAAAATTTAAACTGTTCTTTGTTGAAGCAAAATGTTTTTACTTCAGCTTTTGATTGATGGAACTAGTTAATCTGAATAATCTTATTGAATGATTTATCCTACCATTAGACCAATCGGTATAAATCATTCATTTATTTTCTTCTTCAACGTGATTTCAAGTTGATTAAAATGTATGAAAAGAACTGTTGCTTTATCGCTAAACACTAGCAACTTCCAATTACAAGCTAGCGGTTTTCTTCTGATACTCATGTAGCTAACTGATATAAAAAATATCCCATAAGGAAGCAGTCATTGTTGTTGTAGGTTTGTGCATGACCAGTACGATCCGTTCTTTTCACTGTAAGCTACTGGAGATCTGTTGCTTTGCATTACGATATCTGTTTATTTCAGTGATTTATACAGGTAATATGGTTTTTGTGAGTGGTTCTAACCTAGTTATGATGCATATCGATTTGTACTGTATCGTGCACAATCATAGTCACGACTATATACCCAGTATATTAAGTTATAATCATTTCTATTGCAAATATGAATAAATGAAGTAGAGACGTATATTTATTAAACAAGAGAATACTAATTTTCAGTCAATGAATTGATTTTGCAATGTAAAGAATTAGGACTAACCTGTTTTCTCAGGTGTATTTGGATTGGATCCAGTTATCAATGGTAGATCATATTTTATAGATCTATAATTATTTCGGTAAGTCGTAGATGTTTGAGATTGCTTAACATGAAGTGTTACTCGAAGTTCACCTCTTTGGATGGAAATATAAGAAATTTAAGCAATTAGTGATAAAGTAAAACTGCATAAAATGTGATTTTTGCCATATAAAGGTGACTTATAAGGGATAAAAAGTTGCTTTAAGGTCACGCTAAAGTTCAGGACAACTGTACATAAAGACTCATATTAAGTCGATTCCGTGTACTAAGTCATCAACTTAAAGCATAAAACCTGGTTACAATTGTAACTATGCGTTTTACATTCTGATCATAATTAACACCAAATCTTAAGCTCCACATCCTGATCTTAAATCCTGAATCCTAATCCTAACACCGTGAATCGTTCATTCCTACTTTTGTTCTGGTTGATTAGATAAGCTTACCTACTTGATTGGTTCACCTTTAAAATACCGGCGTTACTATTTGTGAAACATTTGTTTTAACAAAGTATTCAAGTATCATTTTTGTTTATTATCGTACAATATCAGATATAATTAGAACACATTGAAAATCAGGAACCATTAAACAATTGTTTCCTTCTCAATTTTGAAGTGTTTCTAAAATTGTAATTCTGAAATGTGATTTAATTTGATTGTGTTGAATGTGGGTAAATTAGTAAACTTTTAGAATATTAAAATGGTTTAAAAATCACTTCAATTCACTTCAGAATAGTTGTATTGAACTAATTTCTAAAATGAAATACATTTATCATAGATAGCGATATTTATTCGTTATAAAGATCATTTCAATGAATTTCATTTGTTTATCATGGTTAAAGAAATCTAAATACATAACTCCAATCTATTGAAGTCAAACTGTTTAGGAAAAATTAGATACCTATATCTACCTATACTTATATACCTATATCCTACAGTATGTTGTTAATTTGAGTAAACTTGAAACTAAGGTGTTTTGAAAGGAATAGTTAAGGTCAATTGGTTACAAATTCTCCGTATATTATTATTTGTTTGTCAATACAAAAATCAGTTTGTTTTCTGTATGTACAATGTGAAAATTAAGAAAATGTAATTCAGTTGGTTCTTTTCACTAAGTTTTTAATTGAGATTATGAACCGATTGATGTTAGACCACCGTTGACAACCTTGAAGTACTGGACGGCCATTTCGTCCTATCGTGGGGTTCCTCAGAATTGCGCATCCACGATCCCACTCACGGGATTGTAACCCATGGCCTTCAGTCTCGCGTGCGAATGCTTAACCTACTGGACCACTGAGCCGGCATCCAATGGTGTTAGTGTCTAACATCAATCAATCCACGAAATTGCGCGACAATCTTCCATTGTACTGGTGTTCATACCTGTCTCTACCCGACATGGATTAATTTGAATAAAGTAAAAAAAGTGATTGAGGTTGAATATTATGAGTTCATTTCCAGCGGTATTAATATCTAACGTTGTGGATTAGTTGAAGTTAGACATTAACACCGTTGGATGCTGGCCAGCTCGGTGGTTTAGTGGTTAGGCGCTCGTGCGTTGGACTGATAGGTCCTGGGTTCTAATCTCGCGAAACGGAATAGTGGTGTGCACTGCTGAAGTCTTCAAATTGGACGAAACGGCCGTCCAGTGATTAGAGGTTTTCCATGATGGTCTAACTATATACATATATATATATATATATATATATATATATATATATATATATATATATATATATATATATATGTAAATTTACCTGTAAACAAAATATAAGCCATTGAATGAACTTCCTTGTTTTAAAACCACTTGATTATATTCATATTTTTGTTTTTCCAAACTCATAGCAATTTGTTTTTGTATTTTATCAGATAAATGTTGAAAATAAATTATATTTTTAACAAATTTCATCCTTTCATGAAACTCATTTTCCATTGCTACACGTACAGTATTATTATATAATGTTCTTGAAATATTTACTAAACAAACAGATTGTTTCTCTGATTGTTTCGTTAATGGTGATGATGATGATGATTGTTGTTGCTGTTGTTGTTGATTGAATGATGATTCATGCCGATTGACTTCATTAGTATTTGGTAAAGCTAAAATACTTGCAGTTCTTAAACAATCTTCAATTAATGCAACTTCACCAAATACTGAACCAGCTTCTAGAATTATTGATTAAGAATAAAATAATAGAAAAAATAAACTATACGGAGATTAAATACATAAAAGGATGCATTAAAAAAAACAAACACAATTATCATTCTAAACAATTTACTTAGATATCGATAGATTAAATTGTGTGTCTACAACAATGACTGAAATTATGAAATCCGGTTATAGTGGAAGGAAATTAAACAATACTTTAATGGGAATAGATTATATTTTGTGATAAGTCTTGGTAATTGAACGCTATATTCAGTTCCTAAGCTATTCTCGTAACCATCAAGTTAGAAATATACAGTGACCTGATCACAAGAGGAAAGGCGCAAAATATGCGAGAAGCACTTTACTCCAAAGGTTCATTTTGGTACAGAGAATATAGGGTTTTTATAGTATTTTAGATGTCCTTGGGTTTCCCGAGAATTCTGGAATGCTAAACTTCTAGTGAACCCTGATTGGATGAAATGCTTCTTAGTGTTTTCCTGATCTTTTCTTGTCTTTTGAGAGAGGTTTTCTGGATCGCCCCAACATTTAGATCATGTAGTAGGAAGGAAACTTAGTTCTTGATGTTAAACTTGAATATTCCTCAATTCAACTATACAGTATTCCATTAACCATGATATTAGGCATGAAACTTTTATTAAGATCCAATTCAAATTGAAAGTCAAAATATGGTGAGTAGTTAATTACAATGAACGTCTAGAAGTGTCTCTTAATGTTATGAAATGGTACAACAGAGTTCCTTGCTTTTCTGTTATTCACTAGCTCATTAAAGATTTAGGTTGAAGGGAAATGTAATGTAGAATTATTTTCCGTGGGTAAAAAATATCCGGTTTCAAATATATGCAACTGTTGCATATCATTTTGTTTAAGGAGTGATGTCTTTGAAAGATTCAGCACTTTTTTTTCAGAGAGAACTGTTGTGTAGCGCGCTTCTTTTTTATCTAAATATATTATTAAAACTATCAGTCTTGTTGAAGTAGTGTTCCAGTTACAAAAATCTGGTATTAAATTTAACTTATATAAGTAAAATAATCGGTACAAATCAGCGTTTGAATGTTGTTTTAAATCAAACAGCTGCAAAACATATGTGTGATATTATTAGATTCTTACTCAAAATGAGTTAACAATCTCTCATTTTAAGATTGCTGAGACTATACAATGTTGAATGTAGAAAAACTAACTAGTGCAACATATTTTTTAAAGGTTCAATCCATGAGTCAATCTAAGCTAGACCACCATTGAAAACCCGGAATCAGTGGACGGCCGTCTCTTCCTAGTACGAGACTCCTCAATAGTGAGCATCTACGATCCTGCATGTTGGACTAGAACACAGGACCTTTGGTCTCGCGCTCAAACGCATAACATCTAGACCATCGAGCCGACATCCAACGGTGTTAATGTCTGACTCCAGTCGATTCGTGATACAAATACATCTTATAGGTTGATGTCACTTAGTCATCCAGTTGTTTATATGCAGAGTGAAACTGAATACATATGTAAATAAGTTCAAGTTGCTATAACGCACCACAATGAGATGAAATTGTCAAGGTACATCCTAGAATAATAGAAATGGTAACAGTGCTGATGACAAGATTACGGATCGAAGATGCGATTAAAGAAAATATGAATTGACTAAATAAAACAGATTCTCTTCAGCAATTTGTAAGTTGGAAGGGAAGACAAATAGTAAATGCTATTGACCCTGTGTCTCTAACCAATGGTTACGGTATTCATTTGGACCCCCAGCCAGTTAGCCTACATTTACGCATATCGCTTAGTCCTACAGTGCACTTCTTCATGAAGTGATATAATGTCATGATTTGTTCATCCTTAACTTCCTTCCTGCCTACTCTTACGCGTAGTAATGATTTTACGGTTACAAATGTTTACAATATAACATCTCAAGTGAAGCTTACCTATCAGCAACATAAATATTTAATAATCAACTAAAAAAAGTGAATAATAATCAGAAGCAAACTCAACAAAGATTATTTGAAGATCAGACTTAAATTTGATTCATCTATAGAATAGATGTAATGTGGATAGCAAGACAACCTATGACTTCGCCTCATCCTATTTAGGACTTATCATCTAGATATGCCTTTGTCACAGTGTTTATATTAACATTAAGACTCTAATTCCAGATTTTTCACTTTAAAAGGTAACACAATTCACTGAGAATCCAGGATAAACATTTCACCCCATTTATAGCTCGGCAGTTAGATATTCCTGAGTTCCTATATTTATGTTCACATATGCAATTATTACAGATCAATTATTCATTCAAGAATCTTAACAATGAGATTATTCAGTCGCTTAATAATAATTAGGTAGATCCATCCACTGTCAAAAAAGTATTTATTTAAGAAACATTCAATGGAAATCTAAACGAAAATGAACACAGTAGAAATTATGAAACATTTTACAGTATAAACTTTAAGAAGTCAAGAAGTAAATTGTTTGTTTCTTCTTATAAACTATACAATAACCATTATTACTTTCTTAAATTTCAGTTTGTTACATTAAATTATTTAAATCTCAATAAGATACTACTTTTATGTATTAATGAACGGTTGTTATTGGTTACAGTAGTATAGAATGATTTATAGTGTAATATCATCAGATTATATGTATCAGATTGATGTTCTCCAATAATCAGTCTTATAGTAACAATTAATGAAAAAATGTGAAACAGAAGATTTTTGAGAATTACGTCAACTACATTGTTTTTCTAACATAGAAAACTATTCAAATCTAATTATACCAAGTTGTCAGTATTATCAAAAGAGTATGTTGTAATAAGATATTTTGAATACATTAGTAGTATATATATTTATATATTTGTGTATTTCCTTAATAATATGATCTGTGTAATACTTTGTTAAGGAGGTTTCCTCTAATTTGATCTATATTCCATTTTAACAACAAGAAACCATAGTAACTTGTTAAATTATTCACCATATATATATATATGGCCAAATTAAAACAAACTGAAAACCCTGTACTAAAATTCTCTAGGTAAATCACATGAAAATTTTGTAATAACCCAGAATTAAGAATATTAGTAAACTGGTTCAAACAATTTGCAGCATTTTCCTTTATGTACTGTCATAAATTTGGAAAAGTGGAACAATGAATCGAAGAGGAATCAATTTTGTTTGTAACTACTGTTAGGAATTATTGAAAAAAATATAATGAATTGATATTATAGAGATTATTAAGTCGTTTCTTTAATAGTTCTATATACCAAAAGAGACTAATCAAAATGTAAGTTAGTTGTTAGATAACAGGAAATTTTGCTCAACCTAGACCTCGTGATATGTTTCACTCATCAGAAAGGTGCATCTGAAATCTCGAAGGAATTAATACTCCCCAGTTTTATTCTATCATGTATCATGAAGGTTCACCGTTGAGATCATTGGTGTGCTACTGATTGGTCAGAATTTTGATTCCAAGCATTAAACTTGAAAATATATAAAATTCTATGAATAATAATGAGTGATTTGGCAAAGCAAGTAAGACAGATCATTTTTAATTCATCAGCAATGAATACTACTAAATGGAGATTCCATTAGTTGATTACCATACTTAATTACAAGCTCATTTCATTATTCGATATAAAAGAAATAAGCTAAAATATGACAAACAATTCAAATGCTTTTTGCCTAAAAGCGTTCAATCAGAATAGTGACTGTAGCCTCTTAGATTTAACCTAAGATAAATATGATGATACTTTGCTTGTTCAAGTTTCACAGATTGACTAATGAAGAGCTTTAAAGGAATGACATGAATTATAACCACAGAGATTGTGAAGTTATCTATGTACTAGTGAAGACTAGTCAGAGGAAGAAGTTCATAAGTTTTATTGAAAAACCATGACTTACAAAGTTTAATCTTATCGTGAGTCGAAAAATATCGCTGGTGATGATGGATGATATTTCGAAATTAACCTTAAACGGTCTTTACTTAAAAAAATAGTTGTGTGGTGACATTTTTTCTATCCCTAATGTCTACTAAAAATATGATCACCTAACAACATACGATTAACAGGAAATTTCATAAAAAGAATTTAAGTGTCACCGCGCTATGCCAACGACCTTGAGTGACCTTCAGAGTAACTTTAAGGTGTCATAATTCTACTGGAGTTTAAGTGATACGAATGAACAATTTATTACGGAAAACCAGTTCTATTTATTTCCTGTTGTTTTTTCCATGAACAATTAGGCACTTTCTCTTAGTCGCTATGTTAGTATACTTTAGTCCTGTAGAATTTATCAAGTTGAGAGCTATTGTAACTAAATATTGGTAGATTTTACATTGTTCTTAACTAGGTAAAACCTATCAGCCATGGTGCGTTGAATCTCTCTTTAACCTGGTTGGATCATTGGTACAATATATTTCCCCTATAGTCTGAATGCTTAAATCATGAACTAGTAATTTATACTGATTATATTTAATATTTAGTTTTTATAACAGTAGAATGAATATTAAAAAACCGTTTGTTATTGTATCTTTTAGTGGATTGTAACTTTTGAGATGGTGGATAAAATTTGTAGCTCAGGTGGAAGATTTTGATGGAGTTTTGTTCTCTGAGCTGGATGGTTTGGTCGTAGAGCTTTCATCGTAACTTCCATTGTAACTTTAGAAACTGTTGTTTAAACTCTAAGATTTCGATTGTTATTGAAGAATGATTATTAGTCAATAATGTCAAGATAAGGTTGATTTTCAAGGTTTACACGGTATTTGAAACAGAACAAAAATGAATAACAATTGAAATGTATTTTTCGGATAGTCCCCATGTCAATAAAACACGAATAAGTATTAAAATGATTTGATTTAACTTTTAGGCGGCAAGATTGAACTAATATGCACTTAAACCTAACGTAGGTATCTTGGTTTTAATCAAGTGTCATTAGGAAAACATATTTGCAACCTGTCAGGATACTTAGTTTCTTTCGAAGACTCGAAATCAAGTTATTTAGCTTCGTACTAGGATTTATTAACGCTCAGGTATTTGACATCATTTTGTTTAACCAGGAGTTAAAATTAGCTATACCTTAGAAATCACTGAAAAGCACTGTGCTTCCTTAAGTTGTATACCAATCTAATTATTTGTGAACTAATTACTATAGATTCAGATATTCGTAGGTCATATAAATAACTTGTGAAATTTGGAGTTTTCCAGTCAGAAATTTTATTTTCTTATTTGAATGAAGTCGTTAACTATCAACAATTGTAAATACCAGACCTATTGACTACAATGAATCATTTTTTAAACAAACTGTGAGATTTTAATGAGGATTTGTAATCTATCATTGTCGATATGTGGGACCAAAATTTATCAGTTTTAGTTTACATATGTACATCTTGAAAGGATTAGTTCAGCATAACTTTATGTGATATGTTTTATTGTAGATTGATATTTGGCTAGCAATTGGACCAAGGATTCACATTTCGTTTTATGTGGGATTCACCGATTGAATGCACGAGCATCACGGTTTTAATGTACACACTAAGACTCTAACCCATTACATTTTGTTTCAAATATCCAGAGTATTGTTCAATTGTGACATAATGTTGCATCAGGGTAATCTAATTAAAGACGAATATATATAGAAACAGAGACTATTTAATTACATTCCTAAATATGGACAACGGGAAATTACATATATTTAATAGTACTTTAACATCCATTGAAAAAGTTAACAATTAACTGGACTCAGCAACTCAATGTATAACTCATTAGGTGTTTAAATTGAAAGTTAATGGGTTTAAGTCTCTATGTGAACATCAGCACTAGGAAATGGGCGCATCTAGCTGCTGAATTCCAGATAGAATGAAACACAGTCCTAGGTTGAGTTACTAGGCATATACCAAATATATAGGAACTATGAGGTTTTGCCTTACTCTAATCTTTCATTAATAGTGTTTAATTGACAATCACAATACAAAAACATCCTGTGGAATGTAAATAATCACAATGTGAAAAATTAGTCATTATATTACCTAATATGGTAATTTAAATTGCAACCTGGGAACAGTTTTCAATTATTGGTTAGATTCAATCTAATTTTTATAAGATAATAAAATTCTGGAGCACTTAAATCCGGTTCTTATCTAATAATTCAGTTGTTGGATAATGATAGCCAAACAATCTAGTCAACAAATACACTTAGGAACAATCTGTTATGTGTTAAGAACTTCAGTATATGTTCCTACTATACACAATTTATTACTTAATTTTGCAATTCTGGAATACGTTTTTATAATTAATTAGATATTAATACCATCATGTGTTGGTCAGTGGTCTATAGGTTAGGGATTGGTGTGATAGGTCAAAAGTCCTGGGTTCGATTACCAAGTGCGGGGTCGTGAATGTATACAGCTGGGGTGACCCATAATAAGATGAAATAAATGTCCGTTGCTTCTAGATTTCTAATGGTGTTCTAAGAATAGTTTGTGGTTTAAATTACAAAAATTCTACAATCTCCAAAAATCCTCCTGTAATATGTGATTAATTGTCTTGGAGCAATTCCAATATTTCAAGATTTAACTTCTGAAAATGTCTATTTTGACCACTGAATAATTACTATCTTCTCAACAATAATTTTTTGTTCATTTTCGGCCGTACAAATTCGCATTTGATATAGATATACTAGCAGTAGGAAGACTAGTGTTATCAATCACTACATAAAACCAGGTCTAAAAGTTTGATGTATAACTTTTACTTGTTAAACCTCGGTTATTAACAGTCACATGATTTCCCTTCAGAAATAGGCATTTGAGTATAGAAAAACAGTGAAATAAACATAAAATTGCGTAAATATATATACCTAGTTGACCAACTTGAGGTCCGAGCTCTTGGTTAATAATGTCTGAAACATTTTGTTTGACGGGTATAAAACTGTTGGATTTAACGTTCATCAATTCATGCATCTCTTCATTTGTTACAGCACTTTGATCTCCACGATAATGAACCGATACACGACCAGAGAGTAATATATACATGCTAAACAGTACATGGGTAAAATCAAATAATCAGTGAGTGTAGTTTTGTATATCTAATTATTTAAAAATTACTGTTAACATTAGTTGTCATTATAAGCGATTTTCAAAAGCCTTTAGTGTTATAATTTCTTCATAAGGGGGACTGAACATGTAAAATAGTGAATTATTACGGAATAAACTGATAAGACTTTCTAAGAGTTTTATTTATCATATATCCAATTCAATCTGAACAAAAAGGTTTTCATAAATTAGGATGAGATCAAAACTCAGTAGCAACTTCGCTGATCATGTTGATGCATGATCACATGGACGCCTTGCTGATAAGTGTTAACTAGCATTATACCCAGGTTCAGGGTTTCTTACGATCTCTTTTCAAACAGTTAACTTATGAACTTAGTGCACGTCACGTCGAGTCACCTTGACTAGTGGAAGCATTAAAACTTAACCGAAAGAATTCAATCAGCACATAGGGACTAAGAAAACATCCACTCAGTGGCAAATTAATGTAAATATCTAAGTCAGTCACTGACCATGTGGCTAAGTGACAAAACTGAAGACTGTAGAACTGGATGATTTGGATTCGGTTCTCACGAAGAGCATCAATTTCTTTAGGCTTTCAGGTTCGTCTCGCTGATGAAGATTCCTAACTGTCATAGAACCCAAGTTCTGGATTTTCTACCAACTAACTCCAACCAATTAGCGTCGAAACAAGATTTTCATTTTCATTTACATTTGAAAAGCAGTTAATCTACATCAGTTTAATTATGATTTGACACTTATACATCTCACGGAATCTATTTAGGCTTGGCAGTCATAGAACTTACAAATATTATAGCTATGTAGAACAATATGCTATAAACAACATTTTAACTACAGTATTCTAATAAACATTTGTGTTTCTCAGATATATTCAACGTAAATACATATTACAGGTATTACGGTTTTTAATGTTATGGTCCTTCTACTATCCCATGAGATTAATTTTTTGTGAGTAAAATACTCCTTCGCATATTTATTGGGACAGTCCGAGGAAGAAAATGCCAGAACATTCTCCTTGATTACTTGTAGATGTAAGTTGTATTATATTTATCAGACTGGTACTCATTTTTCAACTGTTTAGTTTCATATCAAAACTTTATTCAGTAAATTGTTTTTGGGACGAATATCAAAATTGAAAGCTGACTTGTATTTATTAAATCTTTTATATCCAGACTAGACTGCTTTAAGTATAGAGATGGTAATGCCATTTTCTTATCGAACTGTACTGTGGTTGATAAATATAGTGGTATTACCAATTTTCATACATTTATTTCTATATTACTGATTGCTTCATACAATTACTGAGAATGAAGTTGTTTCAAAATAATCATAACTATCCACGCTATATAGCCTCTTTCATCTGGATAAACTTGATCTGATCTTTATATGACTTCATCTTACTACATTAATGAATATGAACAGAAATTATTTTGATCATTCATTATAATTTGACTTATTGATGAGGAAAGTCATGGAGGCCACCTCATATCATATAATGGAAAAAAGAGCTTACCAGTCACCAATATCACCTTCTCGAATTATTATATCGTGGGGATATTTGAATTCTGCTTTACATTCAGCTACCAGTTTCATGAGTATCTCTGAAAATGAAAAAAATATGTAAACCATTAAATGAAGATGATTATTAGTCATTTAACCAATAAACAATTGGAGGATATGTCAATTGTCTAATGTAATTAATGTCTTACTATTAGGCCTAATTATTACCATTTCATATCACCTCCGGTGGGAAATGTTATGACATTGGCAAAATAGTGATACTTTTTACTTAATTTATATAACTTTTAAGTTTTCTTGCAAGTTATGCTTCTCTTCCGTTTAGAGATAGCAAAGCACTTTTTTATGATTGTTTGATTTCCGAGGGAGCTTGAATTCTCATTATCACTCCTTCTCTATAATCTAAACTTTTTCACGCAATTTTCTACGGAAATATTGACGTTACTTTATATCCTGTTACTTCAATAATTTCAAAGTAATTTACAGCACCGATTGACCTAAACTGAAAACTTGATTTAAAATCAGAGAGCATTGAGTAATTGTTTCCTACCAATATGGAACTACTTAGTTGTGGATTCTCATAACCTTGAAGGGATTGAACTCAGTATTATTAGGTCTCACCCTGAGAGTAATACCTTTAGACCTTAAAGTGAGGATCCAGTAATTTACATTTCTAACCTTAATCAACTCACCATAGTGTGCAGTCACCTTCAAGCTTTATTGGTGAGCAACAGCTTCACTCTCAGCATAAATAAACTCCATTGGCTATGGCTTTTCATTTAGAATTCCTAGAATGACTTCTCAAATAGTTATTATTAACTTATTAAATGCTTAACCATATCATAAATCACATATTGGATTACTTTGTTTTTATACTCCTCTTATACTTTGTTTCATTGTTAAACATTGATTTCATTGGCTGATTATTCATGCAACCGACTGGAACAGAATTATTAAGAGTATTTTTAACTTTGATAATTCAGTTTCTACTCACAGTAGTTAATTTTGTAGCATGGATCTAACAAACATGATGTTTCAAAGAATTGCATCATCATATTTGATTTATAAAGCAAACCTTATTATAAACTCCGTAAAAAAGCCAAATAAATTTGAAGGTATTTTAGGCAAAGATAGATAGTGGCCAGGAGTGGAATCCATAACGCGCGTTTCGTCCTACTTGGGACACGTCGGCTAGATGTACCTGCATCCCAGAGTTGATCTTCACTCCACAACGCCATCGCTTTATGCACTTAGCTATTAAGTCCTGATAGCCAATGCGGTGAAGTTTAAATTCACTCGGTGTTATTTGCTTGTATCTTCCCATTATTGTTTAGAACTACAATTGATCAGTCTCTTGTTGGCATATGTGCATCTAGTGCGGATTGCCTCGATATTGCCTTAAGTCACAATATCGAAGCAACCTGCTCAGAATGCATATATGCCAACAAGGGACTGGTCAATTGCAGTTCTAAACAACAATGTGAAGATGTAAGCAAACAACATTAAGTGAAATCTGAAGACAGTTTTCATCATCTGAAGAACTAATAAAAGCTGGAAAATGCTATCGTTTCATAGTTTAAGATTCATCAGTAGTATGTACAAAACGCCAAAAGTTCACTTCTTTCAACCTCAGCAAATTACTGATTATGAACAAGGATCATTCAAGTTAATCGTTTAATGATAATCTTACACTTGAATTAGTTGAAATCTATTAATTATATTATATATAACTTAGCAGAAACCGAAATGGTTCGATGTAAGTTAAAGAAGACAGACAGATGAAGGGTTATTATAAACTAAAAACAGGGAAAAACTTATGTTCAAGTACATTTCGTTTAATTTACTTCGATTATACTAATCAATAGTTGAAATTTAAATCCATTGAACTGGGCATTAGTAGGCATTCATTAATCAATAATCAAAATAGATGAAGATAATTTATAATATTGTATGATGAATCTGCTATAACCAAAAACTATAACTAAATCACTAAGTTATATGGTCACCTCATTTGATATTTATTTATTTTAACACATAGATATTGGTAGAAGGAGGCACCAAATAGATATGCGCCACACAGATCTCATTTGATATGTGTGAGGGCTGTGACACTGCCCGGGTGCCCAAACCGAAGCAGGTGGTTTTCTTAGGAGGCCACTCCCCGAGCCTTCGACCTGAAGGTCTGATCCACAAGGCAGTGGAGCATCGTAAGGAGATGCAGTCCCATGGGAGCCGGTGACCAACAATTGGTTCACACGCCATTTGTTCCCGCAGGATACTGGAGCCTATGTGCACTATTAGTTTGGGATTCGGTTAAAACGCCGGACATTCGCTTTTCGTAAACAACAGCGATCCCTGTCAGAGGCTATATACGCGTGGCCATGTGAGAGCATTTCGAGAGGGAGAGCGGACTCTCCCCACTCTCCACCGTACCAGGGCATTTGGGGGCATATCGTTACCTCATCATTACAGGTTACAATATTTGACTGAAAGTTTAACAAATATTCTTTAAACTATTCATTGTTATGCAAATGAGAGGTAGTTGATAGCTGTATTGAGTTTATATTAATTGTACTGTGGTAATAGTGAGTCCAGGATTTCAATGGTTGTCTAACTTAGATCGATTCTTGGTTTCAAAAAAAAAATTAACAATCTCCACAACCTTTTACTGGTAAATCTATACTTTATTAATGGAATTCATGGGTCAGTCTAAGTTAGGCCACCATTTGTCAAGAGTTTTTAAACACAATCCAGTTGACTTCTTGATCTGAACACAATTAAACTATTTGTGTCACTAAATAACTGTTGTTTTATCTATAAAAGATTAATATCTATTTCGTGAAATATAAGATATTATAATCATTAATACTGACCAATTGATTCAGCAGATGAGTACATACAGAACCAAAATAATAAGCAAGAAATTGAAATACGTAGTATCAAAGATTAATTCATTGATTCAATTTATCTATGTTAAATCATACTGTTACCGTTGTGAAGGAGATGCAACCATATCACTATTGATCACATCATATATAATTAATCAGTTGCAGATAAGAATGTGAACCAACTGCCGGTTTTGCGTAGAGATTCACTGTTGCGTAGTCTTATACAATACATTGAAACAGTACTTACTTACGCCTGTTACTCCTCGTGGAGGAGCATAGGCCACCCACCAGCATTCGCCATCCAACAATGTCCTGGGCAATCCTTTCCAGCTCCTTCCAGTTGTTATTCATCCTTTTCATATCTGTTTCTATTTCCCGACGTAATGTGTTCGTTGGCCTTCCTCTTTTCCGCTCCTCTTCATGATTCCAAGTTAGGGATTGCCTTGTGATGCAGTTTGATGATTTGCACAATGTATGTCCTATCCACTTCCATCGTCTTTCCCTAATTTCTTCTTCAGCTGGAAGCTGGTTTGTTCTCTCCCACAAAAGGCTGTTGCTGATGGTATCCGGCCAATGGATGTTGAGTATTTTGCGTAGACAATCATTTATAAATACTTGTACCTTCTTGATTGTGGTTGTTGTAGTTCTCCAAGTTTACATTGAAGCAATAGTCCAGTACATTTGATTTTCAGTGTTTATTTAAATAAGACCACTTCTTAATGTATAACTACAAACTTCAATATGGTCTTAAGTAATTGAAACAAATTTCAACTGATTATGTACGATAATATCAAAATTATGTAAATAAACATACCTATAGAAACATCTTTAAATGCCAGAATATTTTCTTTAAACCATAATGCTATATGCCTTATTTCAATTGCTGTTCTCATATTATTTGGTTTAATTAAAACTTCCACCAAATTGTTAGAAAATGGTTGCTGCATTTTTTTAACATTAAATTGATTAAGGTATTAAAACTGAAAAATTTATAGGGAATTATTTCCTTTTACATGGTTTGATTCTGATTGGTTGATTTTTTATCCAATCATATTTCTTGTAAGTATTTTTCAATTGATTTATAAGAAACTTCACAGATTGAAATTACGAGTCAATTGAAACTAAATCACCATGGAAAACCTGGAAGCACTGGACGGCCGTTTCGTCCTAGTATGGGACTCCTCAGCAATACGCATCCACGATCCCACACCCCGCGAAGTATTTCTTGGAGTTCTAGCGAGAAGCCGTTACCAGTGGAGTTCAACCAGGTCTGTTGTGAGATATCAACTCACTGAAGACAATGGTATAAGGTGGCGCAACTTCATGGATTGGTTGAAGTTAGACATTAGCACCATTGGATGCCGGCTCAGTGGTCTAGTTGGTTAGGCGCCTGGCGCGAGACTGATAGGTCCTTGGTCCGACTCTCGCGGGGTGCGGGACCGTGGATGCGCACTACTGAGGAGTCCCATACTAGGGCGAAACGGCCGTCCAGTGCTTCCAGGTTTTCCATGGTGGTCCAGTTTTAATTGACTCATAATTTCAATCTGTGAAATTTCTACAATCTCCACAAACCCCATTCTGATTTATAAGACTAAATTTTCATTTATGATTTTGATTTAAATTAATGTAATGATTTTGTTTTTATCCATAAAATGTCTTTTAAATTTTATGAATCATTCAAAAAAAAGTGTTACTAACATCATAGTTATGATTGGAGTTGTTTTCTGGTACCCAAAGTGGATAATTGTTACATAAAAGTAGGTTATACTAACCTTACCATAAAGTGATTCGACTCATTTTTATTGTTAATGAATCATAATTTTAGGTTTAAGAGAAAATCACTTTCAAAACGTTTTTTTTTAGTAGCGACTTATAGAAAACCAAATACTGAAATATTATGATGTATCAGATGTTTCTTATTAACGAGGTTTTCAAATCAAGTTTGTTAGAAGTTTGCTTTGAATGAGCAAGGATTTAAAAACAAATGACTTTTTTTGTAAATACAAATATTTGGCTAATTTGGTAGGTTGAAAACGTAGTCAACTAACTCTTTCTAACATCTGCAAGCGAATTTTAACACTTGCACCAAAATATCCCATTTAAGATACACCATATTTTCGAATTCAATATAATATTAACTTCGATAAAAAATAATCCAATCGGCTGATGTATTGCATAGGTTTCACATAAAAGTGTCAATAGAACGTATGTTAGGTATAACAGTACAAGCGAAAAGCGCGTAAACAGTTAAATGACCAAGTAAAGCCTGCCTTTTTTCTAATGATAATTATTCTATGCATTAGATTTTGTGCTGAACAATAAATAATTCACTTTGAGATTTATTGAAAAATATCAGACTTTTCCCTTCACTTAGAGTAATGCAATTTTATTTCAAACTGTTGGTGCATAATTTTATGGTATGTTTACTTAACTTGGACTGTCAATCTAAATTAAAACACATCTTACAACAAATTTATTTGGAATTTGCTTGTCCCACCAATAACTGTTTTGTAGTAAAATATTACTACTTACACTTTGTTAGTAGTCAAGAAGCTACAACACAATTTCTGAACTTCCTTGTTAAACAGTCTGAAAATGTGCGATAGAATAAATTGACAGAGCTTTGCCCATGTTTGACTCAAGAGTTTAAATTGTTGCTCGATATTCCTTGATAGAATATTTCGTTCAGGAATAGTTGTAGTAAATTTTAGGAGAGTCTTACAGAATGCCGTTGTAATTATCAAACAACGTCTAAATTAGTGATTGTTATCAAGCGTTCTTCATTTTTTAAGAATTCAAACAATTATTTAGTTGTAATGATATCACTTAAGTAACTAAATTATATTCCTAACAACAATATTAGATTTAAAATATTTCGTCCCCCACAGGTTTTCAGTAGGTAAGTTTTTAGTGATTACACAAGGTAAGCTCATCAGCTATTATTCTTTTTATACAAAATTTGTAAACATTAAGTATTTTTCAACTTACTATTAGTTATAAGTACAGCCCAAAATATGGAAGTTGTGAACGGTTTTAAATTCTTAACTAAAAACTGCTCAAATCACCACCTTAGGATACCTAAGCTCACATGATATTTACATATCACGCATTTCACACTGCAAACCAAGTACATTCAATGCACAGAAACCAACAGTTTAAATCTTATTTTTTCATATTTTATTAAATTTTTAAGGTATATCTAAAAAGTGAGCTATTTGTAATCGACTTCCTAGTCGCTAGTACACTAATACTCTTGAAACCAGAACAGTAAACAGAACGTGGGTAGTATGGAAACAGTATGATTTTAAAGGTTATTATATATTAAGAATATAAAACTATTGACGAGATTATACAAACATCTGAAAGACGCACTAATATCGATAAAAATTTTAGCAGTTATCCATTCACAATACTGAAATTTTATGATTCATAGTTTTCCAGAATTTTCTAGAGATTCCTGATTAGACAAACTATTTCCAGGAACTTCTCGGCTTCAAAACACATTTTCGAGAAATTATCAAGATCTAAATGTCCATTAAGCCTAATAATCTTGTTTCACTAGTAGCAACTAAGCTCGGTTCCTCTTCTACCCAGTTCGTAAATTTTATATTTCTGTTATATCCCGACGAGAATTATGAATGATAACTTTTGAGAACTATTTGTGGATCAATACGATACATATATTTTTATTGTGTAATTATTAAGTAACTAAGTGGTGTGAACAGGGATACAAGAAACCCTGACAAACTACGAAAGCTATTTTTCAGGACGTTATTTCATTTTATTCAGAGCTTGTAAAACACTGATTTTTATTTTTGTCCCTCTTTTATTCCACAGAACATGAGCTTTTGTTCGATGTATCATTCATTGCCATACCCCTTTTTGTTTCGAAGCTATTATAATTTAAACATAATATTTTGCACCTTATTTCTTACCCCAATTCCCAGTTTTGGACATAATTGTATTTTTCCAAATTATTGTACGTTGTGGTCAGGTAAATCACCTATTTATTCATGTACCTTTTTGCACTGATCTGAATTCAGGGAGTTCAGCGATTTCGCAGGAAATCAGGATATCGCAATACAGTCAATAGTGTTCCAACTGACTTGTCTTCTCTCATTCGCGTGCTTGCCAGCCAATCAGGTACTAGAATAGTTCTCTCTACCCCACCTCGAACTCACGCGTACTAGCCTCAAGGTTAAACCGGCCAGCCTATTGCGTCAAGGTCTTAATCTAAAGTAGACAAATCAAGGTCATAACACTAAGCTATGCATATTCATGTTCCTCTCATTATAAGCTTTATTTTGACCTATAGTCTATTATTATACGATTTACCATTCTCGAGTTATGCCCAGTCTATTAATTACAGTTCCCCACAATCACAGCCACTTTTGGTTAGATCTTGTACAAATGTTTTTTTCTATTTTGTAGTGTGATGTCTATTCGGTTTGTATATAAACCCGATATGTTTGAAATACATGATTCATGCCGCTGAGGCTGAGATTGGTGTTCTGAACTTAACAGGCAAGGCTAAACAGGAAGGAAGACCGATAAAGACTCTAAAATGGTCGTATGGGCCCATACGTCATTGGTCCGGTCAATAAGCCAGTGTTTTATCATTGGCGGTATCACCACGTTATATATTAATAGGGCACAAGTTATAAGAATTTCTCATAAGCCTTATATCATCAATTGAATAATTATCTCATATAATAAATATTATAACTTTTCATTTTCAGATATGTTTTATTTTAAAATCTAGCGAACATAACAAAGTGGGATTATCATCACCCCTTTTTTTAATATTCGATAAACGTGCTGTATCGATTATTTTACCGTTCATCTGATAGGTGAGTGTAACACACACTAGAGGTTTCATTTCGAATAATCCAATTATTGTGTTATGTAAACACATCATTTTAGTATAGCCTAACATAGTGGATAGTAAACAAAAAATAGAGTGAGGTATATATATTTGAAATGAAATCATTAATAAGAATTACACTTATCCAATAAATGCTAAACATTAAACACTTATTGTAAACTGTAGATAACCTCGACCAAGATAAATAACGAATAAGTGATCAAATTTATCAGAATGGGTTTTGTGGAGAGTTTTAGAAATTTCACAAGTTGAAATCATGAGTCAGTTGAAGCTAGACCACCATTGAAAACCTGGAAGCACTGGGCGACCGTTTCGTCCTGGTATGGGACTCCTCGGCAGTGTGCATCCACGACCCCGCACCACGCGGGGCCCGAACCCAGGACCTACTGGCTCCGCGCGCGAGCACTTAACCACTAGACCACTGAGCCGGCATCCAACGGTGTTAATGTCTAACTTCAACCAATCCATGAAGTTGCGCCACCGTACACCATTGTCTTCAGTGAGTTGTTATCTCACAACAGACCGGTTGAACTCCACTGGTAACGGCTTCTCACTAGAACTCCAGGAGTTTTTCCTGAAGTCAGTCACTAGTGAGCAGTTGATTATTATCAGAATGGGTTTTGTGAAGAGTTTTAGAAATTTCACAAGTTGAAATCATGAGTCAGTTGAAGCTAGACCACCATTGAAAACCTGGAAGCACTGGACGGCCGTTTCGTCCTGGTATGGGACTCCTCAGCAAATCTATATTTGAAAATACACTTTTATTATCGCTTACACGTATTAACTATTCACTTAGTGATAGGACGATATATATATATTATATATAATGTTTTAATTTTACTGATCGAAATGAATATATTATTAGTAGTTGCGGTTGACAAGATTGGAACGATTCGAATGATGCCATTGAACTATTGATGAATACATTTCAGAATTTCAATATATGATGTCGCTGAATATTCACAGTCAGCTAACAAGGCAGGTACGTAGAAGGATGTATACTATTTCCATGAGAATAACCTGGCTTCCTCAGAATATCGATCTTCTCTAAAAATGAACGCATCACGATTACACCATCCAGCTTACAAAGTACATGTTGTGACCTTGATGTCTGGCCTTTCTACCACGCGAATTATCCACCAATCAGAATACGACTTATACAAATCTTCACTCTATACCAACCAATGACTTTCAACCGGTGTGGGCAGTCTAGCGCCTTGTTGGTCCGAGGTCCTTCTAGCCCGTCTGCTTGAGTCCAAAAAAAGCACAATACCAGCTTCCGCAATATGAATTATGTATTTCAAACATACTCTGTTTATATACCAATCAGACAGACCACAACGTACCATAAAATAGAAAATAATATGTGTACACAAATAAGCCAAAAAGTGGCTGTGAACGCGTGAGATAGTAATTAACAGACTGAACATAGATTAAGAACCGTAAATTGTATAGCAATAAATTATAGGTCAAAATAAAGCTTATAATAAGGGGAATATAAACACACATAATGTAGTTATTGAGTAATTATACAATAAGAATATTTATAGAATATTAGTCTATTAACAGTAACTTAATCTTCACTGGGTTATAATAGTACAACTTGACTTAAATCCTCATCCTAAGCTACAAATCTCTTCCATTATACAGAAAACCAGAAAAAACATTTAACATGAAGTCATGTACCGTACAAATAACATTAAAATAACCGTGGTTTGAATTTTTTATTTTTAACTGTCATCATAATGATGAACAATTCTCCATACCTTCCTTCCCATTTTGCAGTCCTCAAAGCCTGTCCCTCAATAATATCGAGAATTTAAAAAATGGCATACTCGATGATTGTTGTTCTAAGGATATGAAAGCCAACAATTTGTGCAGTGATTACTTTTCAATGACATTGAGCTCTAATGACCACGTATCATTAAATTAAATCTAATCTCGAAACTGGTTACACGAGGAGATAATTAATTTCTCTGAATGTCATGTCTGAATGTATCTGTAGGAAAAACGTGTGCCTAGATTATATGATGACATATATCGGCATCGATACCAACCACTGTTTTTTTAATATTTATAACTGGACTCTAAAAATTTATCTTTAAGGGTGAGGAGAGAGAACCAGTCATTTTGATGTCACCCTTTTCAAATGCCCCTAATTTTAATTACCTACTGGCATAAAAAAACAATCAACTCGTTTACCTTAATGTATAATATTGGTCAGTCATATATGCATAAATTCTTTGTCTCATATTGAGTTGTTTCGTTAATTTGTTTTCTAGGGCCAATTACCATAGAGAGACCTTTACACACTTATTTAAACTAATTTTTTGCTCAAAGGTCGTCATAATATTGAGTGGTTCAATACATTTATGAGGACATTAAGATGGTAGTAACTAAATAATTAATTAAGTGTAACTCACTTATTCGTTGCTTCCTTATGCTTACTTTTTATGGATATATTGTCAAATTTTATGTGTGAGGCCCAGTAATACTAAACAGGTCCCCAAACCATTGGAAGTAAGGGAAGGCATTGATCTGCAACTTACTGGCTGAATTGGACTACAACTTTAAAGCTTATTCATCTCAATAACTAAGAAAAATGTTTGTGCATTCAGCTTTGAGCTACAAATTTTGCGTAAGAGTTAATGATGATAACTTATTCTCCTTCCGTATCGAATCACATGGAGCGGTTCACGAGCTTAATTTGTTGGAGGAGTCTTGATACATCACATGGCTTTATAGAAGCCGGACAATTGATGAGCCGTCTCAAGACCTAACAATAGATGATATACGCTATTGAAAGTAGATGATCATGCACCCGGTCAATGTAATTTTATTTATTTAAACACATAACCATTGGTACAAGGAGGCACCAAATAGATATGCGCCACATAAATCATTCGATTTGTGTGAGAGCTGGGATACTGCCCGGGTACCCAAACAGAAGCAGGTGGTTTTCTTAGGGGCCACACCCGGAGCCGTTGACCTAAGGTCTGATCCATAAGGCAGTGGAGTGACGTCAACAAATGCAGTCCCATGGGAGCCGATGAACAGCGATTGGTTCGTACGCCATTTGTTCCCTCAGGACACTGAGGCCCATGTGCACCATTGGTTTGGAATCAGGGTTTTCCAACTCTTCTAGGTGGACTCTCCGTGTCCACCAACCCGGTTAAAGCATCGGTTCTTCGCTTTTCGTTCTCTCACTTTCGTGAACAACACCCCCGGCCACGAGAAGGCAGTGAGTAGGACTTCCCTGGCAGTGGTTTTATGCACGTGGCCATATAAGAGCATTTGGAGAGGGAGAGCTAACTCTCCCCACTCTCGGTCGTAACAGGCCATTTGTGTAATGGGTCTAGTCAACTTTAGGAAGTGTAACTAAATCAGACCACAGCACACAACAGAGCTTTTAATAGTTACTGTCATCCTATCACATTGAATCAATTAATTTATCAGATGATGTTTAACAAATAAATTTTACTTTGTTTTCTTCTAGAAAATTAAACCTTGATTAATGCATATTTATCAGAAGGGGTTTGTGGAGATTTTAGAAATTTTACTGATTGAAATTATGAGTCAATTAAAACTGGACCACCATGGAAAACCTGGAAGCACTGGACGGCCGTTTCGCCCTAGTATGGGACTCCTCAGCAGTGCGCATCCATGGTCCCGCACCCCGCGAGAGTCGGACCAAGGACCTATCAGTCTCGCGCCAGGCGCCTAACCAACTAGACCACTGAGCCGGCATCCAATGGTGCTAATGTCTAACTTCAATCAATCCATGAAGTTGCGCCACCTTATACCATTGTCTTCAGTGAGTTGATATCTCACAACAGACCTGGTTGAACTCCACTGGTAACGGCTTCTCACTAGAACTCCAGGAGTATCTCTTGAAGTCAGTCACTAGTGAGCAGATGATTATTATCACACATAAATAAAAATTAATCAACATTAGAAATCATAATGATTTAATCAATTATATTGACAGATAAGAAGAGATATAAGGAAAAATAATGAAAAACAACAACGCATTAAATCAATATTAATGGTTAAAGATTTAGTGCACAAAATAGATTATTGAACTTTGATCAATTGAAAACTAAACCATTAAAATTTAGGCTTAAATCAATATCCAATAAAAACAATAGAAGACAATTTTATATAATAGAAGTGGTATTGTAAACAAAACTTAAGTATCACCCTTAATGAATGGAAATAGGATGTTGCTAAAAGATGTAAGTCACTTATATGGAGATGTTTCCTTTTTGGAAATGAGTATTTCACTAAGTTACGGATAAAGTAATCTGATTTTTTAATTTTAAAAAATGGACATTTTTTTAACAAAGTTAAGTAAACTGACTGAGAGAAATAAATAAACAAATAAATGAATATATTACTTCAGAATCATTTGTCATTATTCATCATTGATACCACATTTTAGATTCAATGGAATAGCACGTTCCATTTGTTTAGGTAACGGAAGATTTAATTCATTCATAATTTTAACAAATTCAATTTTGGTTTTAGTTAATCTAAAAAATTAAAAATGAATATGAATATGAAAAAGAGAGTAGAATAGAACAGTTTTGAAATTTTAAACTGAAATTAATTGGATTGAATCATTATTATTGGATGATCTAAGGAACATTGATGTATGTTAGATCAAAGCGGATATTTAAGTTGACAATTAGTAAGAAATGAATACATTTTAAATGTTAAATTAGATTTACATAGATCTTTATAAAGTATAGAACGTGTACATGATAGGTTGAATAAATTTTAAAACAAGGCAGTAAATTTCCATAGTAGTAGTAAGTAGATCCCCAAATAGATAGTTTTTTAAGTTTTCGACAATAATACTGAACTCATTAGTTTAACTGGACACATTTTAACTGAAGATGATCAGTCATGCATCCGCACCAGATGGCCTACCGGCCATCCTACGCATCTTTCGTAACAAGTAACTAGCTTAAGTCAGACGCTTCTCCACATATTGACAACCTTTCAAATATATATTTGAACCCGCTTCATTCCTTTGGGAACATTCAATCAAAAGAATGCTACGAACAAAAGCATTGTCAAACCCGGAATATACATGGTGTGCTCAATGTGATCCAGTATGCCAAACAATAAACTGTGAGTCTGCTTTTTGTTATAACATCATATATTTTTTAAATATCATATTACTTTGTGTCTTTGGATTTTCAAGGCTATTTATATATTCTATCTTCATAAAGTCGGCAACCGTAGCCGGTGGACATAGCCGTGTTATACAGCACTGAAGTGATGAAGAAAGCCCGCCATCTCGTCTTCGTTGTCGCCAATCAAGCTTAGATAGGAAGATCTGTCTTAAGAGGCCAACGTAGGAAGTTCGTTGACCACTGACCTCCCTAATGCATAGCAATACTTTTATTCTTGAGCCGTGTTGCAATTCGGTATTGTGGAAGATTAGGAAACATCACTAGTAGGCATACCAGGTATAAATCACCCACTTAAATCGCGCGGTACTACCTTCACTACTGAGAGGAATCGAGAACACGGGTCTGCCAAACTGTGCTCGTGTAAGCAAGGTTCTGCATAGCGGAACTAGGTTTCGATAATATCAGGCCAGAACTAGAGGTTTGTGTAAAATTAATGCAATGAGATGAGTACTTCAATGTGTAACAGATCACAACATAATGTGCATTATTCAGGGGATATAATCTTTCATACGGTTTCTTATTTATTTGTGAGTTTGAGTAAGAAAGAACAGAGAATGTAATAGAACAATATGAATTCATTATATTTCACAGTTTCTAATTATCTGTATAAAACCCGGCACTAATCCTTAAAAAAGACTCAGGTATCCATTCTTCATAAGTTTTGAATAACCTTGAGTTGGAGATATAGAATAATCAGTGATGATAATTGTGGAAGAATCAACTATTGTTCAGGCGTTTGCTTACTTATAGGTTAAATATATGAATATTCTAGAAGAGAAAACTGGGACAGGGAAACAATTTTTCCGCGAGATCGTAGATTAATGCCATAAATTAAGTAACAGTTTAACCAATATAAACTAGGTGAATAAAGCTCATAATAAGGAATAAGATAGTGGAAATCGTGATTAAGGTCATGGAGAAAAATCTCGCACAGTAACTTCATGTAAACGAGGTCACCAAGGCAAAACAAAATTGAGAACTGTATCGTTATGCATACAAAAATTCGATTTCAATCTTTTTATTAAAGTGGCTCCAGCAAAACGCAATAAATTTTAATTTTCGTGCACATTGATATTTCCTAAGGACTTTTAAGCATCAACATCATGTTCAATGTTAAACAAATGTCAAGCAACTGCACTGTCGAAAAATTCCTGTTCTTGGTCGCAAATTTGGTGGAATGTGTTCATACATGCGGATACTGACCCTACTTTCTATTCTTCTGATGTAGATGATTTGACATGCACATGTAAACTGGTAAACGCAATTGAAGAAAACATAAATTGGGGATTTGTCTACCATTGACTATCGCAATGAGAACTTCGTTTAGTCTAGAGAGAAACTCAGCCGCATACACCTAAAAATTAAAACAAGATTAGTTTGAAACATATCATGGATATTTAGAATATGTTAATATCTGGGGAACGATTAGTGTGCGTGTACGCTGAAAATTCAATATATACAAGTTTCACATTTAGTATATATATATATATATATATATATATATATATATATATATAAACTTACCGAGGATTAAACGCCTTTTCCTCGCCAACAGTAGTCATAGTGTTGCCTAAATAATCATGAGCAGGAAACAATGTATAATCATTTGGAAGACTAAAGATTTGTGAATAGACTGAATCATATAATGTCTCAGCTGAGCCTCCTTGAAAATCTGTTCTTCCACAACCACGAATTAAAAGTGTGTCACCAGTGAAAGCAACACCAGCGGAATGCAATACTAGCGTCATACAACCTGATGTATGCCCTATGAAGTTAATATAAGGCATTGATAATGGTAATAACAATGAAGTCAACATATAAGTTTAAAGAGCTACGTAATAAAAATTCCGTTCAGTTCTATTACAATTACGAGTAATGCAATACATTATAGATTTTTAGAAAACGATGAACTGAAAACAAAAGTGAATTTTGTATATTTGCTTCATTTAACCTTAGAAAGTTAAAAAAATGATCAACTACACAGTCACATGTTTTTCAAATAAAATTAAAGGTGACTTTAATACGAGCCTACCTGGAGTACTTCGACATTCTAATTCGAAATTTCCAAATTTAATACATCTCCATGTTTTATTATCTTGTCAACTTTGACTCCATCATAGTGCGACAACACACTGAAAGATCCAGGAATTTGCTTTAACAACCCACTGCCAGTTACGTGATCCGCATGCAAATGAGTATTTATTATCGGACCCAATTTAAGATTCAACTGAGATATCTAAATTACAATATATCAATAGAAATAGATGAAAAATTTGCTACAATAACAATTGCGATTATTCTACTATAAATAAACACTAAAAACCTAAGATGGTTGCTTAGTAGTGCCCTGGTACGGCCGAGGGTGTGGAGAGTTATCTGTTTCTCTCCAAATGCTCTCACGCGTAGACGGCCACTGTCAGGGAAGTCCTAATCGCTGCCTTCACGAGGCGAGGGTGTTGTTTACGAAATTGAGAGGAAGAAAAGGGAATGTCCGGAGCTTTAACCAGGTTGATAGATATGGAGGATTCACCTAGAGGAGTTGGAAAACCCTGATTCCAAACCAATGGTGCACATGGGCTCCAGTATCCTGAAGGAACAAATGGTGTATTAACCAATCATTGGTTACCGGCTACCATGGGACTGCATCTCCTGATGTTGCTTCACTGCCTCATGGATCAAACTTTAGGTGAACGGCTTCGGGTATGGCCCGCTAAGAAAACCACCTGCTTCGGTCTGGGCACCCATACACAAATCAAGTGATTTGTGTGGTGCATATTTATTCGGTGCCCCTTTGTACCAATATTTGTGTTCAAATAAATAAATAAATTTCCGGTAACTGTGGGAGAGATAAGCATTATATGATAGGAATTTGTTTTGCACTTTTTAGAGATTGGATAATTGACTGTAAATATCTCACCACTAAGCTTGATGAATTAAATAACACTAAGTTTATAAGAATATGAAAAAAATGTGTATGATTATTTATAGTAACTGTTTGTTTGTCTTGCTGATGAGGATTTTTGATATTATTGGGCAAATTATTGTTCCGTATACGTAAAAGTTTATGTCACCGAAGTGCTTGGACGATATCATGGGTCTTAGGCAGTGAGAATTATTTTCAGGCAATTTTTTATGTATTTTAAGTTGGGTGCCGAGATTGGGGTAGTATCCGAATCTATAACTTGGTGATTGAAAGGATAATGCTTAGACCAATGAATTATAGCTAGATGGGAATGAGATTTGAAAATATCTGAATGAACGGCTGAGGATTTGTGAGTTTAAATAGATAAAATTATGGGGTTTTAAGCCCTAGGTAATTAAATATTTTACCGAGAAAGAGAAACAATGCTAGAACAAAGTCGCCACTTGCAAATTTTAACTCAGATATGTCTGTAATTAGTGATCGCAATCACCTGGACAGTAGAATGTCATGAAGTTAACCTTAAAAGAGAAGATAACTTTGGTTTGCTTTTAGCTAATGAGCATAAAGTATGTAAAATTTATCTGACGAGCGAAAGTTACAACTATTTCGTCAGTAATGATCTCAAACGACAACTGGAGTACTGTAAAATCATTAGGTCAGTGTTTGTGTTAGGTTGAAAAGACCACGCAGAAATTTGAGGTAGCTAACTCGAATGAGCATGATTGGATTATATTTCAGTTCTTGGTTAACTGAAAATTCTATATTGGTTGTACTGATAATGGGTAATAGGATCAAAAACGGCATCAACCTATGAAATAATTAAATCATTAAGTTAATCTTGTGTGGCACCATGACCTCAGGCAGTGTCCGGGAGATGATGATTCATGTAAATCCACTCTATCTGACTACGACTAGCGAGCGTCTTATTGTTTTGTTCCCTTTACTGTTTATTTTCAGTTTTTTCATTGTTTTGAAAACACAGTTTTATCGTTGTTTGTCTTTGCAGTTCTTAATGAAGTGTAATGGTTTTGACGAAAACATACTTTTATATAACCATGTCCACTGTTTAATCATTCATTTTATACGTACTAGTTGCTCATATCCACTAGCTTTAGTTTCTCTGTATATCGTGTTGTACAGGGTTTCATTGGAATGTTGTATGAAAATACGGTCATTGGAACCGGTACATCATTGTCTACGCCTTATCTTCATATCACTCAACTAATAAAAGATTATCTGAGAAAATGAGTGCATTTATGCTTATGCTCGTTGGCATTCTGTTTTCATACATATATCGACCACATATTCACCATTCGTCAGGTTCTAGGACATGGGCATACTTATCGGCGTCCGACAGTGGTGGTCGTTCTTGACTTAAAAGCGGCATTTAACTCGGTAGACCGCGAGATTCTGTGGCAGTGTCTGTCATTGAAAGGCGTACCTCAGAAGTACATAAACCTTGTGAAGGCTCTTTACTCGAACACTACTAGTCGAGTCAGGGCTTATAGTGAACTGTCATCTGCTTTTGCAACCACAAGTGGTGTCCGTCAAGGCTGTCCACTTTCCCCATTTTTGTTTAACTTCATCATAGATCTACTGATGGAAATAACACTCGTCGACTGAGTTCTCGGGTATTGATCTCCATCCAGGAGGTCCACTTATCGACTTAGAACACGCAGATGACATAGTCCTGTTTGGTGAAGATGCTGACAAAATGCAGAGTCTTTTGGTAGCACTAAGCAACAATGCCAGAATGTTTGGAATGCGCTTCTCTCCCTCTTAATGCAAGTTGTTGCTTCAGGATTGGTCCGCGTCAACACCTGAACTAAGGATAGAGAGTGAAGTAGTCGAACGCGAAGTCTGATCAGCCTTAATGGGTTGGTGTCTGACGAAATCTCAGCACGGATTCGAAAAGCTCGCTTGGCTTTTGCCAACTTACGTCACCTTTGGCGAAGGCGAGATATACGTCTATCAATAAAAGGACGAGTATACTGCGCGGCAGTTCGTTCTGTTTTAATTTACGGCAGCGAAACATGGCCCTTAAGAGTAGAAGACACTCGTAAGCTACTAGTATTTGACCACAGATGCCTTAGAAATATTGCTGGCATCTGCTGGGATCACCGGGTAAGTAATAGTGAGGTTAGAGGCAGGGTATTAGGAAATGATGGTAAATCAGTTGATGAGGTTATGAATCTTCATCGACTGAGATGGTTGGGCCACGTATTACGTATGCCTGAACACCGATTACCGCGACGTGCAATGCTAACCGGTGTAGGGGATGGTTGGAAGAAAGTTAGGGGCGGCCAAACCAAAACGTGGTATCAGTGATTGAAGTCACTAACTTCTAGTCTGAGCCATGTTGGTAGATGCAGACTACTTGGTTGGGGTCCGCGTGACTTTCGTAACCAATGGTTGGAGACCCTTGGTGACATGGCTCAGAATCGATCACAATGGCGTCGGTGTATACACTCTCTGTCTTCCCTTAAACTAAGAGATTAAAATCGCTTCATATCTTTCCTTCTACGAACTAATTCTTTCTTCTTGTGCTATATCCTTGTTGCAATCTTTCTTTTATATATTACCACCTCTGAATTAACTACTTTTATGAATCCGGTGTCCATGTTGTTGTGTTAATGAGGTATGGAAACTTGGACCGATGCATATATGTGCCTGATCCTACGTTGTAGCTGACTAACTGACAAACAAAAAGTAATTCAGTGAACACAGTTTTATTCACTAATTTAATCCACTCGATTGGTTTTAGATTTAAGATACCCCTAACCACCTATATGACAAAAGGCGAATATGACCACATAACCACTTTTAGAAGTCAGGATTCCTGAAATTTGATGTTGTTAGGATTACCCGAAAATTTATTTATTATTTTACTTAAAAGTTAAGAATTACACCAACCTACAAGTTTTTTATCTCGTTCAACAGTTTCTAAAACAGGGTCGATAATAACAGCATCTTTGGTATGTGAGTCGGCCAGTAAGTAAGTGTATGTAGATGAAACCTTTTCAAATAATTGACGAAATATCAAAGGACCACCGGCAGAAAGTATAGGAACTTTGGATGACATCCTATAACATAATATAAATCTGTTCAATAAAACAGAGCATTTACTAATCAAAATAATTAAAAATCAAAACGAAAACACTAAGCTTTAAGGAGTATTATGTAAGTCTGAAAAACACACCAAAACTTTGTGAATGTGGATGAAAAACAGTGAAAGTCGGGAATTACAGGTAGTTATAAATTCTACCAAAGGATGGTTAGATTTATTCCTACCAACAAACGAAATATTATTTATTTAAACACGTAAGCATTGGTAAAAGAAGACATCAAATATATATGCGCCACACTTCGCCATTCGGTCTGTGAGAAGGCAGGAATACTGTCTGGGTGCCCAAACAGAAGCAGGTGGGTGCATGATGCTGCAAAAGCCACTCCATCCCCAGCCAGATAAAAAATGATTTACGGTGATGTACTAGTGTATTTGACTTAACTAAATAAGTTCCAAAAGAGGCGAAGAATGATCTTTATTGTACATATGTTATTTACCACACATATGTTGCGGTAGTTTATAAATAGATATGTAACCAACCTCAGCACAAGTTCTGTACAGCTGAGTATATATGAAATGGTGGCATCTATTGAGTACCTTTCAAATAAATCATTTGATTAGGTTGCCGGATGACTTCCCCAATCCAATTACTAAAGTACGCTTGTGTTATTTATGCATGATTCAAGCATTAGTAAAACAGGCCTAACTAAGACTTATAATTACTAACAATTCTCGATTTCCATGGTTTAAATCACGAACTGATTTTAGTTAGGACACTACCGAAAACCAGGAAGTATTGCACAGCCGTTTTGTCTTGGCGTGAGACTCCTCGGCAGTCCATTTCAGAGAATTTAGAACCCAAGAAGTTTTATCTCGCTTGCGAATACTTAACCTTTATACCAATGAGTCGGCGTGCGAGGCCGATCCTGCGTTTAACTGCCTTTGAACGATTGTAGATGTGCACTGCTGAGGAGTCCGATACCAAGATTAGACAATTGTTTCGTACTTTATAGCCTCAAAAGGTGATCTAGCTGGGATCAGTCCCTAATATAAAAACTGTAAAAATTCTATAATCACCGCTAAACCATAAACTGATATTTTAATATTCGTCAATTAGACAGTAGTTTGGTTGCATCTTGTCATTAAATGTATTCCAAGGTAGTTTTGTCCCGAAGGTTGACTGTCATTGTAGTGCCATTGCATAGAAGCCTGTCGCGACATCCTACTAACACTTATGGACAAACTGGAAGATAACACTTAGGCCGACTTGAAATAACTGCCCAACAAATTTCAGACAAGACAGTCAACTCTGTAAATAGTTAACCAGTAAAAATTTTCCTTACGTGGTAATGAAAGCATACGCTGATACCTTAAGTAACTGAACTATAGTAATACTCCGAATTCCTAGACCGTTCACAGGTTACACGTTCAAATGTATCTTAACAGGAAAGAAACCATGTGCGAAAAATTTAATTTTGGACGTTTTGTTGGAGACAGAACCTTACTTCAGCCTTAGGGCTAATAACTTAGGTAATTTTGAAAAACGGGGGCTTGGGTTCACTTAACAGCCTTTCGGGTGAGACTATAACCTATGGTTTGTCCATAACTTATAGTCTAGCCTCATTTCGTCAGTGTCCACTTTCACGGCAGAAGCATTCTAGGATGTTTTATTTAGATACGTATTTCAGCTAGAAGACAATAAAAAAGCTTGAACACAAACTTAACGCGTAATAATACCTGTAGTGTGTAATCACGCAATCACATCTACATGATATCTACTTGTATGTATGAATACAACCCGAGCTTCCAAGTTTGGGGTATTCGGGGAAACTCTCGGAGTCAAATGACCTTCACCAGTGTTTGGGGAAATTTTGGGGATATTTCGTTTGTATGGCTAGTTATTTACTGATAAAAAAGACGGCATGATGCATAAAAATGTATTACTATATAACTAACCATAGTTAAAGCTTTTCTTTACTTTATCTACGACTGCAATGTACCTTAAGTCTTGTCTTAAAATATCAACCTCTTAAGGTATGTGTGTAGCAAAAATAGCATCAAAAAGAATTCCAGAGCTTTTAACACATATAAGTTAACGAACCAGGACACGGAAGGGAAGTAATCGACTCTCAAACTTGGTCGAACCAAAGGAATTACTTTACATGAATCCCAGTAAGTTAATAAACACCAACGACCTTGAGCCAATTAGCGACCAATCAGAAAGAAGTTGTCAGTAATAAAACAATGAACAGTACAAAGTTATGGAATGACAGTGGATTACAGTCATTAACCCTAACAAGTCAAACTATATTTTCCGGCTAAGAAAAAAGGGCAAGTTTTGGATAAATAGATATGTATGAGGAGTCGAGCTAGTGTTTTGAGTTGGGGTTGTCACCTCATAATTTTCATCACCAACTGTTATTTTACAGTGCAAAAAGGTCAAGGTAAGTTATAAAGGTTTAAACTTGAGTTTTGAGTTGGATTTACAAATCGTGGACATGGTTTCAAGTGAGAATTGAGTCGGCTAAAGTGCACTGCCTTCTGACCTTGATGTATGTAAACTTACGAAACTTAAGTTTGGGATCTAAAGTGAGAGTAAGATGGTGAAAAGGTTAAGAAGCCTCACTGAATACTCTTGGATGCGTAATGGATGACATCAGGTTCATTAGTTGCTGCCTTTGAAGCAGGAAACTTATAATATTCAGTTCAAGCACTATCGAAACTTTACTTATTTGGTTGCATAAAAAGTATTTTGGCGAGACTATAATGTATGGATGAATCAATCGGACATAAGATAACAGATCATGGATTTTGGTGTGAAATTTATTCACCCCTTTGACATTTTGTTGTTTCAGTTGATGTCGGTTCGTAATGAAAGTCCTAAATCTAATTCCTAACCTTAAACATCAACTGTAATTCATAATTCTAATTCCTCAAAATGGTTTTTCTACATATATTTCGCACTAGTCAGTAGATGAACATTCGTAAGGTTGTAGTGACTCACATTTATCACGAGAACACGACTGGTTTAATAGAAACAATTATTATTATAACCAACTGTACCAGTGTTTGTTTTAACGTGCTTTTGTTTGACTGTGCTAATGACAGCTATATTGTGCTTCCATTCTTTTACACACACTTCGATTGTAACTTCGCGCGAATTCGGTTACCTTCTGTAACCAAGGTTGTATCCTGGCACGATCTCGGTATCCTTTCGATGCCACGAGATCGCCAGCAAATATACACCTCGACTTGGTCCATTAATTGCCTTCTGATATTTGGCTTCTCGGGGATTTTATGGAGTCATTTGGAACGAGCTTCTTACGCCTTCTGATCTATTTGGCACGTGTTTCTTGGTAGCGGTGTTCATAGTTAATCACAACTCGACGCCACGCTACATTGGTGACCCGTATTTTGGAACACGCCTCAACTTCTGATCAAATCTTCCAAAGAAGCCAATTCGGTGAGTCTATGATTTATCTATCCACGTCTGTCGTATATTTTCATATTTTTTAATATTTAATATACACGACATGACGGATAACGATAAGAATAGTATTAATATAATAGACTCACATGTATGTGTACCGAATCCTTGTTACTTTTTATTCGCGTGACGATGAATTCCACGCTTTATTCGAGAAAGTTTCCCCTATTAACTGTTCTCCTCGCTGACCCGGCTGCTTGGTACGGAATGCATACGCATAAGCATATCTGTCTACCACCCAGCACCAAATGGTTAAGTAAACGGTTTCACTGCCAACTTAAAAGTGCTATACGAGCACACGAAAACGGCAACTGGCACGAAACCTTACCGCTCGTTCTTTTAGGGATCAGAACGAGCTTAAAGGCAGATATCCAATGTTCCGCCCTGAACTTGTATACGGCACGACATTGCGTCTGCCCGGAGAATTCTTCACACCACGGAGCAGACCTAATTTCGGTAAATCAGACTACGTCCATCGACTGTCTGCATTTATGCGAACGCTGTCTCCGGTGTCAACTCGAATACAACATCGACAGGTCGCTCTCCCTCGAGAGTTATCTACCTGTTCACATGTTTTTGTACGAGTAGATTCGGTACGCAAACCTTGGCAACAACCTTACGAAGGCCCTTTTCACGTGATCGCTCGTCACGAAAAGACCTTCAAGGTTGATCGACATGGCCGCGTCGAGATCGTCAGCATTGATCGTCTCAAACCAGCACACGTCGATGACAGTGCCCTATCTGATAACCTGAGATTCAATGCTAGACCTATCAAACCTACTAGCGGGATCCTTAAATCTTCTTCAGGTCCCACGCTAGATACATCTGAGACCTCATTCTCACGTCCCGGTCAACAGCACGCGTCATCTGCACCGTCTACGGACGAGACGACAGTCTCACGTCCAGATCAGCAGACCACGCCGCCCTTGACTTCGGATGAGATTGCAGGCTCACGCGACGCGAACGAGACTACCGTCTCACGTTCCGGTCGCCGAGTACGGTTACCCGTACGCTTCCGCGACTAGCCGCACAGTTAACAAACGATACGGTGTAGGATTATTCCTATACTACACGCATGCTACACTCTTCTCTTTTTTGATTTTCTTTTTGTTTCCTGAGCCCACGCCTTCGACCATCTCCGTTTGGTTCCGTCGACTTCAGTCAACTTTGGCGAAAGCTGGCCTGATCACCCACGCTCTTGTCAACGTACTCAGTCGATATCTTGGTTTCGAATGCTTGGCATACGCTTGGTCTCGAACTTGGTCGTTACAATCGCTTCTGGTCTTTTGGCTCAACGTGGTTTCGTCCTTCGTCTGCAGCGTTTCTGGTCCGCACCCTACGAACGCCCTCTTCAGATTCTGGATACAAACCACTCTCGTGTAGCATGCCAACTCAAGCAACAAATACAGCACATCGCTCCTGGTACCGTTCTCCGAAAACGACCTTCGTTGGCAACTCGACGATCAACGATCGCTTTCCTGTTCGCCAATTCTTCCGTCCTACAATCGCTCGTCAGCCGATCAGTCCC